TCAGGACAAGGCATGACGTCTGAAATGGCTGTGCAAAAAGGGAGTTGTTCTGTGAAACTTGTACACTACTGGGAAAGAGAAGACAGCCAACAGACAGAAGGGAAAATACTCCCTTCCRTCTCAATTTTCCACCTCTTAGTAGAAAAACGACATCATTGCAAGATTAAATAAAAACAAATACATTAGCTGAAGAGAAACTAAAGGGAGTCTTTATAAGATTGACTATGATTTTGGCTGTGGGAAGAGTCTTGGRAAGAAATCTTTACAAATGTCTGGTATAGGTTTGTGAATTATATTCCACCATGTGCAGGTACAGAAAGCTAGCTRTGCAAAACTGTTTGAAAAATCAGATGCAACCTAGTTTGTTCTAACACAGGCTGTAACTGTTCACTTCTTGTCAATTTCTGATTTATTCTAGTGTTAGGTAGTTGAGAAAAGGATTTTTACTCTTTCATTCACATTGATGTACCCTGAGAAACAGCTGCCAAAAATGTTGTCTTCGCTCCACCAGGTTTTTCTGCCCTCTTGAGAAAGGGCTTTTGCAACATTTGTACCACGACCTGACCACACCTATTGGGCAGCATGCTAACAGTATAATGGATTTCTGGTCTCCCCTAAACCCTTGGCATTGGGGCAGAATAGGAAGAGGGTCATGTTGTAGAGACCCATGAAATCATTAGGTAGATCAAAGAGCAATCTGTGAATTCAGGCAATGAGATGTTTCTCTTCTGGCATTGTATCTCCTCGCTGAACACCATATGGAACCCTTTATATTTCTGCTACCGGTAGCAACTGCGGATGAATGTCTCTCACCTGTCAGAATTTGTTARCTTGATCAGTTTACATGCCCCGTGGGAACTGGCAAGGGATACTGATGGGTCGCTAACCCATTGGAATTGGCTGCCAGCTATCCCAGACGTGCTGATGGATAGATGGGAGATACCGGATGAGAAATGACAGCTTACTGCTTCAGCAATGAGAAAAGATGAGAGCTGGAGAAAGTGGAGACTGATGGTGGGTGAGGGGAACTCACATGGAAACATGGGGATAAAATCATCCGGAGCCATCCTTCCCTGATTTCCCTTTCCCTGTTTTCCTCCACCCAGTATTTTATTCTGATTCTGAATTTTTGAGCTTTACTAGGGCCAGGACTGAATCTTTGTCTATTTCTTGGTTTTYATCTGTTTCATTCTTCCTTCTTGCCTTAGAGCATTTCTGTATATTTGTCCATTGATTCACAGGTCAGCCAAGTGTATAAAGGAAACATTGCTCCTTCCTTTGGACTGTGAGAAGTTTCAAATGCTCATCTTCCCAAGGCACAACACAGGTAATGGGATTTGATGTGAAGACATGCCCATGTCTTCCCATATATCTGAGCAGGAGGATCAATTGCTCTGCTTCATGACGTGGAAATGGAGGAGCGATGCTGTGCATCCAGGTTGATGCCTGAAGCCCTGATGGTGTTCCAGTGACCTCCTTTCTTCAGCAAAGGGTGAGGAGAAATGTCATGGAGCCTGCTAAGAATATCCATCTTGTCAGCAGCATCTCCAGCACATACCTTACTGTGCCTGACTGATGCGTCCTGTCACTGGCACATCTAACTTCATCTTGTGTCACAGAAGCCAGAGAGGAGGAGGAGCTGGCAGTAGTGAGAGYGTGGGAAAGCAATGCTATTCTTTTGGTGCTGAAAGTGATAAAAGAAAGACAAAKTGTATAATTTTATAGAACCTGAAATCCAAGAGATGCTTACAATGAAGGTTTTTACTACTAMATTTAACCCAAGGAGTGCCTAAGATTGACCAAAATAGAAGTTTTATTTGTGTTTCCAAAATTTTGCTGAGTGTTTTTTAGAATTTGAATTAATAKAGAAAACAAACTCTGTTGTGAACCCAATCACATTACAGCATCATCCARTCAGAAAAAGGTAAAACGAACAAACATTGTATAATAAAACCAACAAATATTTAGAAGGATAACAATCTAAATTATTACACTTCAGCTAGGGAAAAAAACAGGAATAATTGATAAATCATAGTGCTAACAGAATAATTGATAAATCACTTTYCATGTTGGGGAAAAAGAAGAATGGATAATAATTCATGCATTTTTAAAAAATAGTATTTAGCACATAGGAAGGAGGCATGGTCATTATGGAAKGGAGAAATATTTTGTATTGGTGGGGTGGGATAAAATCTGACTATATTTGTGACAGGACACAAATGAGTGTCCTGTTATGCAGACAAACTTGATTTTTTCATTGAATAAGGTGCATTTAGAGAGYACCCAGGGAAGTAAATGTCTGCCCATAAACATACACCAGGAACCAAATTTCTGTCACACTTCACTAGGCATTGCAAGTAACCCTGCTGAACAGATGCACTGAATTTACAAAAGAGTGTGAGGGTAGGATTTTAGCCAGTGATCTGTCTGAGGGAACTTTTCAGGCTGCTTTTCCACTTCTTTCTTGCTCCAAATTCAAGCTGGATGTTAGTCAGGCTGGATGGTTGCCACCTCTGTCTTATCAAAGATCTGTTTTGACTGTTTCTAAAGCTGTGCAGGAGGCATGAAAATTGTCCTCTATGTCCAGCATATTTATGGCAACACTCTGGGCCCAGAAAGGGGCTGCAGTGATGAATGCTCTTCTGACACTCAGAAAAAAAAATGAAGCAGTTTGAATTGCCGGCATCAAGAACAAATGCAGAATGTATGCACCTTAACATTATCCTGCCTGAGAGGTGCTGCTCAAAGGTATATAGCTTTGAACAGGCACTCCAGTTTAAACCTACCTCAGCTCTGAACAGAGCTGGCTTTCACTGATGTACAGGCTAAATCTGTTTTTAGGCAGGGGTGATAACCTCTGCTAGATCCTACCTCTTCCTCCATGCTCACCCTGGCTGCTTGAGATCTCACACTGGGATCAAAGGTGAACAATTACAACGAATAAATGTCCCCAAGACAGGTGCAGTTACATCTCCAGCAAGTTGAAACRTTCCTTGCAGTGGGGGGAAAAATATCGAATGGAATTTCACTGATCAGATCCCACGTTTTCTCCCCGCCTCTGATACAATATTGCAATAGCCTTTTAGAAACTTCATCCCAAGATCAGCGTAGTAAATGGAGCTAACCTACCATTGAGATGAGCTGCTCAATTTTCACTCCATGACTGTTACGCAGAGGATAATCTCTTTGCTCCTTTCACTGAAGAAGAGGGGGCAAGGAGCTCTGTTCCCCATCTCCTATCACTTAGAACAGAGAAATAGTTTCAAAATACTCTAATGATCATTACTAACTACAGATGAGAAGTCCTATTAATAGAAATAAATGAGCTTAGAAGCAGAGTAATGCAGCTATAGCAGATAAACTGATGGGAAATAAAAAAGTGRGAGAAGGTAGCAAGGAAACTGATGGGAAGTRAAGAAAATTTCTTTGTATTGCTCGKATACATTTCCYTGCACCCCAAAAGTGTGACTAAAATTTCTCCTGAATCCAAACTAAACCTTACTGTTATCCGGGGAGGGATTGGGTTTATGGCAGGGAATTTAACATCCCAGCAATTGTGACCTCAGATATGAACAACAGTTCTGTCTTCCTCTGACAGCTAGTCGTGTTCTATGTAGCTCACATTCCTTAGTTGTGTAGGAAAGAAATAGTGGATTTATTTACATTTTTGTTGCATTGCTATTGATGTTAATTGTCTGTATGTCATCCCTTTTTCACTTCAGGAAACACTCCACCCCCAACTCAAATRCCTTCCTAAATTTGTTTATACCATGGAGAGCAGGGCTGTGGGTCTTCATCCTGGACTCAACCTGGAACGAAAACCTACATACTTCAGTTATCATTTCAGTTATTTTCTACAGTGAAAGAAGAGGTAGAGATGACATGGTAAAAAGCATGGCAAAGATTCCACCTGGAAAATTCAGTACAGCATGTAAGAAGAGGAGTTCAAAACAGAGCACACCTATTAAAGGGTTACTGAGAGCACTGTAGCATGGTGAACATTATCAAAGAAGAGCAGACTAAAAAAGTTCAGTTTGTTTAGTCTAGCAAAATGAAGACTGAGAAGGGATATGGCTGTTTATGCTTCCTTTCAGGCCAGTCAAAAGCATGGTGCTACTGAAGTTCCAGGAAAAACACTAGGGCAAGAAAAAATAGGTGTCAACTCTTTCATACTGCCCTTTTATTCTGGGCTGCATTAGGAGAAGCATTGCCAGSAAATCAAGGRAGGKGATCCTTTCCCTCTGCTCAGCACTGGTGAGGCCACACCTGGAATGCTGTGTCCAGTTCTGAGCTCCCCAGTAAAAGAGGGACATGGGCATAATGGAGAGAGTCCTGTGAAGGGCCACAAAGATGATTAAGGGTCTGGAACATCTCCTAAGAAGGGCTGAGAAGGCTCAAGGGGAGGAATCTCATCAATGTATAGATACATCTGAAGCGGGTGTACAAAGAAGAAGGAGCCAGACTCTCTTTCAGTGTTGCCCAGGGACAGGCCAGGAGGCAATGGGCACACCCTGAAACACAGGAGGTTCCGTCTGAACATTGGGAAACACTTTTTCACTGTGAAGGTGGCTGACTAGTGGCACAGGTTGCCCATGGAGTTGGAGAAGTTTCATCCTTAGAAAGACTGAAAAGCCATCTGGACATGGTCATGTGTGACCAGGTGGTCCTGCTTGGGAAGGGAAGTCAGACCAGATGGACTCCAAAAGTCCATTCCAATCTCAATCCTTCTGTGTTTTGTCTTGGAACACACTCAGGCTGGAAATGAATTGACTTCCACCCTCAGAGAATGAATGGCTTCTTACACAGAAGACCAGAGGACTAAATTTAACTAATTTTAAGAGTAAGCTTGATTGGGTTAGGTGACATGATAGCAGRGAACTTTCCTGCTGACCCTACCAAGCACATGCCACTATACAGTCTTTAAACATCATGGTGATAATAGTTTATGATAGTGGAAAGGGAAGGGAAAGAAAACAGTTTCATACTGTTAAAAAGTCAGATCACAAGGTCCTGAACTGACATCACCTATCTGTGGTTAATATAACTATTAAGTTATGAAAAGGGATTGATGTTAAACTGAGATTTTCCCCTTTTTTTCCTGTCCATATTTTAGTAGAAATTGGATGCTTTGCTTAAGAAAAAAACCAAACTTCTACAGCTGGTTTGTAACATTATTTACAATTTAAATCAGTAGGCAGGCCCCAGTGAACTGCAGGAAAGGACAACCCTGCCATTATTCCCCCTACCCAGAAAGCTCTCATCCCTCTTCATCTTTATGATTAGGAATGTCTGGTATGCAAGCATCACTCCARCACATCCATGCAGTTCTCTTGCAAGTCCCAAATTGAGATTAAAGGCACTTGTGAGCAGGGAGTTGGCTCATGAACTTTGCCAGAGCATCACTAATTATTATGCATTTGCTAAGTGCGGATGTGTGCCTTTGTACAGGTAGGAAAAGTGAATCTACAGCCTCCGAGTGTCTTCAGTTGGCAAACAGATACTACATGCACCCTGTCTAACACACAACAGTGCTCAGACTCTGTGTTCAGAGGCAAGCTTTATGCTCAGTAGGGGTGAGTGGGAAAGCTGTAAATATAAACAGCCTGATTAGATTTTGTTCCATTTGGAACAAAAGAGCAGCATTCCTGTTGACCATTCTGCAGCCAGTCACAGTCCCCTCATTGGTTTACTTTCTGCTTTGAGAGAGAAGCTGAACTTTGCTGGCTACCATGGGAGAGACTTGGAACTGGGGCCCTGCCCCTGGGAGGAGAAGGAGGGTGGGGAGGGAGGAGTACATYCACCAAGCTTGCTTACTAAGTAAGCTGAGCTATTAACCATGCTGGCCAAGGCAAAATTTCTCCTTACGCAATTACTTTTTAGCGATGCCTGCAAATAAGTGCTCTAGCCAAASGTGTTACCTTTCTAAAGTGTGGGGAAGGAAAGAAGCTCTTTCTTGCAAGAGATTAGAAAGAAGAACAGTACACATCGGCATGTCAGCAAGTAAGAAAGCTGAGTGAAGCAAAGCCTTGAGAGAGGAGGTGGAATTGTGTGTTAAAACACATGGAAGTCAGCTCAGCACAGATCTTGGATCTGTCTGCTGTCTATTGAAGTCATCAGGAAGAAKCACATTAAGCTGACCAGGTTTCATCAGTTCCTGTAGAAGGTAGAAAGGTAGAAGGTGCTAATTAAAGTGATAATAAGGCTCATGATCTTTTATTTAGAAAACAAAACACACCATCACTTCTACTCCTAGTACTCTCCAGAATGAAGAAAACAAAATAATAATCGCATAACTACCACCAACAAAATTATCAGCAACAGATCTACTTTTCTATTGAAAACTGTCGAAGAGTGCCACCATTAGGCATCCTTTGTTGTCATGTCGCTTCAAGTTTTATCCCCTTTAACACATGGCAAAAGCCTTGCTCTTTGCATGTAAAAAAAATAAAATTGAGGAACAGATGGCCTATGGAAGCCTTCAAGCTTCTTGTAGTTTGTATACACCAGCGCTTGATATTAAAACTCAAACCAATTGTAGAAGTCATCCACAAAATCCAATACAGGGTCATGGTCACTGGGACCAGCCTGCTGCTATTGCAGAGGAATAAAAAAAAAACCAACAAACCAGTGATTGCAAGTTAGCAACTTCTGATTTAATTTTTCCCACAGTCACTATTATAAATGGAGCTGCACAGGAAGAGCTGGGGTAGAAGGATTCCTAAAACTGTTAGTCCACACACAGCTTAAATTGTACAATCCTTCACCATCTTCTCTCCTGTCATAAAGTTTGCATTGCTTGTCTCCCAAAGGCATTCCCTGAATGACTTAAGTCCTTTCCCACYATTCATATTGTGATCTGAGGTTTCCTCCCTTTAATCTGACAGCAAAGATGAAAGGCTGTTTTAGAGAAGAAACACAGCAAAACCAAAACATGGACAGAACCTCTGGGGGAATTAACCTTTCTTCTTAAATCAAAGTGGTGAGGACACCACAGTTAGACTGAACAACAGCTAATGAGAAATACAGAGTGGAATGGACTAAGCCAACTGGGAAGAATGGGTAAGGATTGAGCAAAAGTTACAAATAGGAACAAAGTGATTGAAATTCAGAAATCAAAAATTTAGCCTTATCACCAAGAAAATTATATTGAGTTGAGTCAAGCAAAAGGGTGAAAGTCCATTGCTTGATATAGATGATTGATAATAACTGACTTGCACAGCTTTTACTTCTCCAGTGAAAAATATACAAGAAAGACAAAATTTACTTCTGCCTTCAAGGTACACTTTTTTAAGTGGCTGGTTTTGGTTTCTATTTCAGATACACCAACAAAATGGAAATATGTGAAATATARTATCAGCTTTATTTTAATGATAATGCCATCAAAGTACTGAAATGCTTTATGAACATCACAAAATAAATTAAAAAAAGTTCTAATGCAGGGCCTGGGGTAACTTCAATTTCCCTTTGCCATACTAGGGAAGAAATAGTGCTCTTTTCACTTGGTCTGTAAAAGGCAGCATTCTTGTGAAATTAAACACAGTGACTAACTACCCTTCAGCCTTACAAATCCTTTCACAGTGTTCTTGGGACTAGGACCTATGGTCTATAGACCTATGTAAATAACTTTACATCTCTACTACAGTGTAAACACCATAACCTGTTGGCTAAGACTAAAAACCTSCTCTGTAGGATCTGTATGACAAGTTCAGGTATAAGGTCCCCACTGAAGCTGGTTCAGAGTGGGTCTTGCCCCAGCTCACTGGTTGCCAACAACTGCACATGCCAAAAGGGAAGTGTCATACTGAACCACTCAGTCTACAGGACTGTTAGGACCCAAGCAAGGGTTCATTATGTTATGAAAGAATAAATAATAAAAGCAAAATTATTACAATAAACATCTTTCACAAAAGAYTTCTGATGTTGAAAGTCATAATTGCTTATAATATATTCTGAACATGCCCAGGACTTTCAGCACATAAAACCCCAAAGCAGCATTCCCAGAAATTGTCATTGTAAAGTCTGCTGCAGAGACTTCTCCAGGGCAAACCTCTGCACTAGCCTGAATCTCCCTGACTTCAAGCCCAGTCCTGCAGTGGTTATTTATATGGACAATTCCATTTGCAGTACTCATGACTGCACGGATAAACTTCATGACAGAGCAAGCCTCAACTCAAACAAGTCACTTCAAGTAATATTAGCAACAGAGAAAGACTAATACACATATTTTAAATACTTCTGACTCCTTAATATAATGCTGTAAGTTGAGGGGAAGTTGTCAGAAAACTCACTGAAGAGCCCTATTTCCTACCTAATTAAGGACAATGACAGATAAGGGACCCAGACACATCCTTTTCATATTAAAGTGATCATATGTTTTTAATACTTAGTCTGTCGGATTCTTTTTGATAGATTTCTTATAAAGCATATTTTAATGACATGGTATTTCTTCTCATGGTAGTGTCTTAGTCTGTGATAGTAAAAGACACAATTGTTCTTTGTTTCTTACTTTTAATACAAATCAGTAGTAACTAAATACTGGTTAATACTGGCTAATTTCCTTAGCTCATATTATTCATGAAATCATGCTAGGTGAGCATCAAATGGGTTTTACTTTTCATCTATTTATATTTGGAAAAATTCCCAGGAAGAATTACCTCCTGTGATTATGCAGGTACTTTTGAGATCATTTTCTTTGTACTAGAAGTTTTAAGAGCAAGTTTTGATAAAGAACATGTTATCTTTTTTGGGTTTTTTTTTTGGTTGGTTGCTTTACTTAGTATCTCCAGAATTTTCTCAAAGTAAATTCTTTCTTTTCCCAGCTATAATTTTATATCTCTAATCCTGTGTCTTGCTTAAAATTGCCTACCCTTCATTCATTACAAGGCACATAATTATATTTAAAGTATTTAAAATCTTTTACAGAATCTTGTGACAAGCAACAGTTTCCCGGTTTAAAAAACAATATATTCCATGAAAGCAGGATTTGTTCTCTCACCTCAACTCTCTGCCCATGTAGTGCTCACCTGTGAACAAAGAATAAAAATTGCCTACATTAAAAGGGATMTTTAGAAAAAAGCTACATATGTATTTATTCAATTACAGGGAGCATACTTCCCTAGAATGCCTAATTTGCACCAAATCTTTATTTCCCCAATTTCCCAGATTTTTGGTACAAACTAACAGATAATAAAAGCTAAAAGTAWCAGATAGCCCTCCTACGGATTGCCATCTGAAAAGTGTCAAATTGTAGTTGGAAAATCTGTTCAAAAGCAGGTTATTCCTCTGCCAGAGGTAAATGCTAATCAAAAGGCAACTTCCCTTATCATCTTGTCCATTTTCCAGGCTGAAATGYTTCACCTCTTAAGAATGCATTCCCTTTACTGGAATGATGGGTGTGCTCTGTGCTCTGGGGGAGTTCACCCTCTGCTTAAGCCACAGAGATCATTCATTAATCTTTTCTCCTTTTCAGAGTTGATCTCCTCTCCTCCTTTCTATCCTCAGTATGAAATCTGAGTACTTCAAAACAGAAACCACACACTTTTGTGGAGCACACTGGAAGCAATCATCTAGGAATACATTGCGGTTTGGAAAAGTATTAATTTCCATGATATGTAGGAAACACCAAAGGAATTAGTAACAAGAAAATCATCAGTAAAGTGTCAAAACTTCTTCCAAAATCAGGAAGGCACTTCCCAGACAAGAGGGTGATTAAACACAGACTCTCCCTGCTTTATTAAGGTAACCTTGTAATGGGAACTCTGAGATCTAGCCTGAAGTCACTCACCAAAGGCTTCCCTTGATTCTCAGCTCTCTTGTCTGCAGCTGCAGGGCCAAGACCTTCTTATTGTGTTTGCCTCACCAAGAGGCTGGAGCATCAAGTTCAGGAGTATCTGTAAATCTCCTGGAAAGTGAGAAAAAGGTGTAAATGCAATGCATCATTTGCTCCCAGAGAACCTCTCCAGTATTAAAGAGCTTTGAAGCTGTCCAGGAGAGTCAGATGTGTTACACGAAGGAGGCACTTTAGAGAAAGCCTGGATGTTTATGTAACAGTATSAAACAGACACTCACTGTTCTCCGAATGACCTGCCGGCTCTCCTGAGATGCCTGAATGAAGAACGAGGTTTAGAACTTGARAAGTATGTATATTTTTGCTTTTCTCCTGTGGATGCAAGCTGTGACTCACAGGGACTTGTAAACTGTAAGAATAAGCCTCTGAGAAGAGTCAGGGAAAAAAAAATCCCAAACATTGAAGAGAAAGAAAAAATCTTCCTGTGCAGGGTGCAACAGCACTGTGACCCTATGGTCCCAGGGAAGAAAGCTGCTTTTTGACAACCATCAATGCTTTCTCAATTGAAAGGTCTCCTATATTTAAGGCCATCATCCTGAAGGATCTGCTCTGCAAAATTCTTGGTATTTTGGGGGCTGGATGTTACAGGAGATCCTCTCTTCCCCTGAAACAGTCCATGTTAAAAAAATGCTACAGTGATGTTACATCCATGCTTTGGGAAAATATAAACATCAAATTGATGTGCACAGCACTGTGACTGGAGGAAACMGACAAGTGCTCAAATGGACAATGACCAAAATGAAGTATATTTTGCTTTTTTTTTCACCCTTTCTCCCTTATTCATCAATCTGAAGGAAAAAACACCTTCTTTATCCAAAATTATTTTCTTCACAAGCAAAACAACAAATATATATGTGTTGCAGAACATTACCTCAATACACATTTCTGAAACTCCTCTGATTTCTTTAATTATTTAACACTGTAAACATACCCTGATATATTTATATGCAATCTGAGATCTATGCTTAAAAATAAACCAAATAGAAATTGCAGTGTGTGTATGCACAACAGACAGCAATCTCTACTAGGGGCTGAAGACATGACACTAAAGGAATACTGTCCATTAGATTTATTTGGTTTTATTCCAGTGGCTAGAGCATGAGATGCAGAGAATTATGCAAAGGTGGTGGATTTTTTAAAAATAAACTCAATAGTAATTATCACTGAAGCAAATAGACACAGTCCTATGCTTCTTTCTAAATGGAATGGCCACTCTTTTCCAAAGGTAAGCACACATTTAGCTATCTCCATTCCAAGCAAAACCAGTCAGACCTCAAACATCACCTACCTAAGGATATCAGTTCAAGTATGGGCCTTTCAATATTCRTCATCCCTCTCCGAGAACACAAGATTTTCTGTCAAAAGAAAGATTTCAGCTTTACTGCTGCATTTTTCCTTGCACATTGAAGAACTCAGAATTTTTAGTACTTGGTTTTATACAGGTCCTTATGGCTTCTCAATTAAGACATCTGCATGCAATGAATTAAGGCAGAATGTAATGGTATCTTTGATAACAGTGTTGTCCAACACTAAGGACCCAAGCTGTACAGTAAAAGGAAAACAGTTGCATTGTTCACAGAAAAAGCCTACATTTGCTTTCAGTAGGTAGGTRAAGCAAAGGCTGCAGGACATGGCACATGGCCAAAAAAGGAAAAAGAATTAAAATTCTTTTAGGTAGAATAAAATCCCAATAGTTTGTTTTGCTTACAAATCCCAAAATTGAATTATTTCTATTTACCAAAGGAGATAGGAGCAGAATGAGCAACAATGGGAGTTTTTGTAGATTTTAAAACAGTATGAGTCAAATGTTTAAAAAACAGCATTTCAACTGCTGGAAAGTTGCCTACATGGCAGTAGGTCGTAGGAAATTTGCCCATCCATGAGTTCAGCAGCAAAATCAAGCTCCTGGAGCACACAAAGATTTGAGGAGATGAAAGCTCACAGCCCCTGGTTCAGAGGAAAAGCTACTGTGACAAAGTGTTAATTATGTATGAATACAGCATTGATGGCMTTGCATGCATTTTGACACACAGCAGTCCCCCAAAGGAAGTGTTATCTAATTGATTTCATCAAAGACARGCGTTTCCTTGGCATCTAGAAAGGAATATATAATCCAGGGGTCTGCTTCTCTGAGTAAATKTCTTTCCCTACCTTCCAACTGGGCTCCTGCTCAGGGCTGCACAGCTCCTGCTGCACAACAGCCAAGGATGTTTTCTGGTTCTCCCAGAGGCACTTGCTGTTTGACCTGGCAGTAGAGAAGGCTGAAAAATACCAACCATGCAGATCTACATAATTTTCAATAGAAACAAATAGTCACACAACAGGTTCCACAGGATATCACCAAACATAGGAAGAAATCATCTACAGGGCAATACAGAAACGGTGCCGTAACAAAGAAACATGTGATGAAAAAAAAATGAGGAATTATCACTAAATTATTAAAATACAGGAGTGAGCAAATCACACTTTATTGGCAGGTCACTTTGCAATTAATCTTTACAAATAGCTGCAATTAATAGATTTGTTTTGTTTACATACATGTTAACAAAAGACAGATTAACACATTGGCTGAATTAGAAGGCTAAACTGCTAAACTGCTCTAATTTAATGCAGGTATTTGGTAAATCACTGGTGCTGTAATAAATGCAGTTATTGAATGCCCTGAAGTCAGACCAAAAGCCAGATAGTGTTCCTGTGAATTTCAAATTACATTAGTTAATATTAATAATTTCAATTACCCAAAAAAAAAAACCCGAAAGTTTTATGCCATTTTAACCTACTTGTCTCTACCTCAGATAGCATTTACATTTATATTTAACTTCATTTTGATGCTGAATCTTGTAAGTAACCATTTTAGCAGCAGGCAAATGCCTAAAAATGCAGCAGTGACTTCTAKCGGGGGTGTTAAATCCTTCTCAAAATAACTCATATATACCATAATTTCCACTGTGCAATAAGGCAACAGAACTTGTGTCCAGAGTAAAACTGTGAGAATATAATATTACTGTGAGTAAAACAAGAGAATATAAACTGAGTTCAATCTCCTGTGTATTCASAATCAACAAAATCTCATTTGGAAGCGATGAAAAAAATTGAGGCTCACATCCCCCCTTCTCTATTACTGCTTACTAACATTTCAGTTTGAAGTTGAATCCTGGAGTGTGGGGTGCAAAGTGTTAATGACAAAACAGGGACAGGCAGTGCTGAAAACCTCCTACGTGTAGCTGCCTCAGCAGCACAGCCAGCTCAAACTTCCATATGCAGGAGTATTTGTGGTCTAAACGTGAATACTTCAGGGGGCTTTTAGGGAAAGCTGCTCACGCTCTGTCACCACACACTGGATTATCTCTAGGTGAAGGCACAGACATGGGCATTTTAGAGGAAGACAAAGTGCTCCAGTACAACCTTGATAAAGGTGGGACTAAACTAGCAGACAAAACAGTGCCCCCAGAAATGCATTTTCCTGGTATGGAAAAAGTAGTCTTTGAACACAAATTCACTTCTCATAACTCACTCTTCAGTGGTAGCTCCTCCATCACAATGATCTTAGCCAGATTTAGGCAACCTTGAACAGAGGCTTCCAGTTCTCCTGTCATTCTGTCAAGGCARTCTCCTTCCTTGTGCACAATTCCTGGAAACAGTTCTGTCATCCTCAGGAGTGCTATCTGTACTTAATTAAGAACAGTGAAAATCATGTGCTGGGAAATGTAAATAAATGACACATTACTGTCACAGGTGCTGGTCTTTGATTACTCGCCAAAAAAGAACCAAAAACATTTGGTTGTCAAGGCACGGAATAGTTTTAAAATGCCAAATTATTTGTTTGGTTGATTTATTGCTGGCAGGCAATACAGGCAGCTACAGCCAGGTCCTCTCCCACAGGTAGGCAAGAGATTCCATACAAATTCTGCAGGAAGCACGGCAAGTTGGTCGGAGGGTTATTTCACTCATAGCCCAGAAACCACCTCCTCCCTCCACGCCTCCAAACACCAGAACTCCACATGCTTTATGGCCAAAAGCAGCTTGAGCCTGCCGCAGTAAGCATCTAAGCCCATTCAGGTAGAGCTATATATTTTTATTGAATGATCACCGCTGTCTAAAACGACGAGGGAATCATTTGCCATGTAAGCCAGTCCGACAGGATAAGAAAGTCCGTGGCTAATTAGAGGATTAAAGATGGGAAATTCCTCMGGTTTCCCTAGGCATATTACAGACTGGCTGCAGACATCCGTTACTATAACACGACCTTCTTTGTCAAAGGCCACAGCGGTAGCATATATTCTGGAGAGGAAAAGGAGGTTCAGACCGAAGCTGTCCATCTGACCGATGAGCTCCATCTCCGCACTGAATATCTTAAGGCGGGTGCTACCCTTGTTCGCTCCTCGAGCTTTAAGGTGCTCTATTACCACGACAGCACCCGAGGTCTGGCAGACTGCGACCGCTCTGGGGCTGACAAGCCGGGACCGGATCATCTGGCACTTCTTTAATTCSCCCCTTTGGAAGTCGGCCGTCAAGCGGTACAGCGCACCTGCCTCCGCGTCGGTCAGGATTACTTCGCTCTYGGGGGTGGCATCCAAGCCCCAGGGCAAACAGAAGCCTTCCCGGACAGCCAGGACTCCCCTTCCCTCAAAATCGAAGGCCTTCACGGAGCAGTCCCCGCCGTCGGTGACCACCACATGCCCGTCCGACGTGACCGTCACATCGAGCGGATAYTTGATGTCATTGCCCGCGTCCCCCCGCTCCCCGAACCGCCGCAGGCAGAAGCCGCTCGGCCCCAAGATGTGGATCCTCTTCCTGCCGTCGTGTGCCACTGCCAGGCGGCCCGACCCGCGGCAGGCCGCCACCCCGGTGGGGTTCAGCAGCGACCCCCAGCCCCCCACGCACAGCCGCAGCCCGAGCCCCGCGGGGACCGGCGCCACCGCCCCTCCGGCGCTCCTGCCCAGGGCCGAGGCGAGGCCGCCGCCGGCGGGGCCCAGGAGCTCCAGCAGCTGCAGCAGCGGGCGGCACTCGCTGGTCTCGGCGGGGCCGCAGGGCCGCCGGCAGAAGGGACACTCCAGCCTCCGGCGCTCGGCGCCGGCCAGGGCACCCACGCAGCCCCGGCACAGGACGTGCCCGCAGGGCAGGTTGAGCGGCCGCCGCTGCTCTTCGGGGCCGTACGGCTCGAAGCACACCCGGCACTCCAGCAGGCTCAGCTCCGCCTCGTCCTCCGCCGCCATCCCCGTCTGAGGAGAGCGGTCTGATCCCCGGCACCGGCCCCGGATCCCCCGGATCCCCCGGATCCCCCGGATCCCCCGGGCCCAGCGGGGCGGGCGCTGAGCGCGGCTGAGGCGGCTGCGCCCCCTGCGGGCCAGCACGGGCAGAGCAGCGCTGCCGCCGGGACTGCCCTGCCGCCCTTCCCGCTGGGACCGCGGAGTGTCCCTGCACCCACCACCGCACCCATACATCCATCAGGGTGCATATAACCACCGGAACACTCACATATCCAGCATTGTTCAAATAGCCACACTTTCACAGAATCACGGAATCAAGGAAGATTATCTTGTTCAAATCTCCCTCCCATGGGCAGGGGGGAGGATAGACCAGGTTGCTCAAAGCCCCATCCAACCTGGCCTTGAACACTTCCAGGAATGGGGCATCCACAGCTTCTCTGGGCAGCCCGTTCCAGTCTCACCACCCTTCCACTAAGGAATTTCTTCTTAATATTTCACCTAAACCTGACCTCTGTCAGTTTTAAGCCATTTCCCCTTGTCCTGTCACTATATGCCCCTGTAAAAAGTCTCTCTCTAGTTCTCCTGCAGTCCCTTCAGAGAAAGGAAGGCTGCTCTAAGGTTTTCCCAGAGCCTTCTTTTCTCCAGGCTGAATAACCCCTGTCTTCATAGGAGATGTGCTACACCCCTCTGAACATCCTTATTTMATTGGATTTCTCCTGCTGTTTTGGGAAACTTCAGGAAATACAACAAAAATAATTACACTCATCACGAGGAGACACATTTCTCAGACAGGCAAATACACACATCTTGTAAGGTGCATGGGCAGTATGTGCTCATTCTGCAAGGTGTATTTACAGTGTTATTCTCAGAGTAATTGCAGGGTACACACAGAGAGCCAWCTTATACATCCTAAAATGGCTTGTYTGGCACATGGCATTGCTCTTGCCAGGCTGTTGCATGCCTGGGAGTCCTGAGCAGGACACCACAGAGCATGTGGCAGCCTCGTGCCAAGCGCCTGGCCTTTTGTGGCTATCACATATCTGGAAGTCTGAGATAAACTTCAGCAGCTCTCATGTTGCATCAGGAAAAAACTATCTGGATTGAAAAGGAGATGCTTTAACCTGGTAGCTGCAGTACTCACCAGGAGTGAAAACAAAAAAGGCCAGCAGCTCACAGTTTGCACTGGCCCACTGGCTACATCCTCTCTCTCTGTCAACACAGCCTTGAAATATGAGTATCTACAAAGCTATACTGAGTGGTCCAATCGGCTGTAGTTGGGGGGAATGCTGCACTAAAACCATCAGACACACTTGCAGCTCTAGGACTAAAACATTCTAAAAAGCCCCATGGCTTTTACTTGCCTTCTATTCTTGACGAATTATGATATACTACATTGCACTCATACCTTTCCTTTCAAAATAAGCTGCAAAGGGGAGAAGTTCCCATGCTCTGTCACCCTCAAAGCAGAGAAGYTTTTTCTCATATTCAGKCAGAACTTCCTGTGTTTYRGTTTGTGCCTGYTGCYCCTTGTCCYRTCCCTGAGTACCACTGAAAAGTCTGGTCCCATCCTCTTGTCAACTGCCCTTAAAAATATTTGTAAGGATTGACGAGTCCCTTCTCAGTTGCCTCCTCTCGAGGATTAAAAAATCCCAGCTCTGTCAGCCTTTTCTCATAAACAAGATGCTCCAGTCACCCAGCCATCTTTATAGTCCTCTGCTGGACCCACTCCAGGATGTCAAAGGCTCTCTTGYCCTGAGCAGCCCAGAACTGTACACAGCACTCCCCRTGTGTCCACACCAGGGCTGAGTWRAGGGGCAGGATCACCTCCCATGACYTATTTACCACACTCTTCCTAATGCACCCCGGKATAACATTGGCTTTTTTGCCCASAAGGCCACASTGCTGGCTAACTCAYTGACCACCAGGACTCCCAGRTCCTTCTCCACATAGCTGCTTTCCAACAGGCCAMCCCCCAGCCTGTGCTGRTGCYCTGGGTTTTTCTYCCCCAGCTGCAGGACTCTGCACYTGCCTTCAYTGAACTTCACYAGGYTCCTCTCTGCCTGGCTCCTGTGCCTGTCCAGGCCTTGCTGCATGGCACAATAGCAGTTTGGTGTGTCAGTCAACTCTAGTTTTGTATCATCAMCAAACTTACTGCAGGTATGCTTCATCTCTTCATCCAGGTCATTGATTAATAAACTGAACGAGACTGGACCCTGTACTGACTGCTGGGAACACTGCTCATTACAGCCCTCCAACTAGACTGATCACAACACTGAGCWCTGCCACTCAGCCACTCCTCAATCTGCCTTGCTGTCCACTAACCCAGCCTATTTCATTTGGTGAATCCATGTCAAMTACTCCTCATAACCTTCTTCTCCTTCACTTCTTCTAAGAYTAMATCCAGGGTTGTTCCAAGGATGAAGGTGAGGTTGATGGCCTAAGGTTTCCTGGGTTCTCCTTCTCATCCTTCTTGAAGACTGGAGAGACACTGGTTTTCCTCCAGTYCTCAGGCACCCCTCCTGTTCTCCGTGACCTTTCAGAGATGATGAAGGGTGACTTAGCAGTAACATCTGTAGCTATCTCAGCACTCTTTGAATTCTCTCACCATACAAGTCCTGCTGTTTTGCCTGCCCACTTCTGTGCTCTCAAATGAGGAAAAAGCACACTTGTGAGCAACTGCCAGGACATTTTCTACCCRTACTCTCCCCTTTACTGTTGTCCCGTCTACTTCCCTCCAGCCTTTCTTGCTTGATGGTAATCCCCTCYTGGCAGCTGCTGCCTTGCCTTGCCCACTCATTGCCAGCTCTTCACTTGATGTAATTCACAGAGATGGAGAGAATCAACTTGCAGCAGCTTCCCACCTCTCTCTGCCCAGCCTRKTGCAAGGCCAGCACCMCCWAAAACARTGYTTGAACYRCAGCTGCCACTGCTTCCAGGGCTGCCACTGCTTCCAGGGCTGCCAGCTGACGAGGCCAACCTGCAGAGTGCCAGGCAGACAGCATCAACCAACATTAGCTGAAAAGCAACATTAACATTGCTTTCATTCTTTGCCTCTCTGAGCTCTCATGATTTGAATTTATATGGAAGAAAAATATATACTTTAGTAATGGTTGTTTGTACATGGAGTTTAAGGAAAGCTGTTCACATCTCAAGGCAGTAAAGGCAGCTGTGTAAGAGAGCTGACTCAGTAAAAAAAGTGGACAAAAAGCCTAATTTAAGAATGTCCCATTTTAAAACATGAGATATAAGTAAAACCAAGATTGGAGGCAAGTTATTTTAATTAATTTTAATCAAGCTATAAACTTGAGTATATATAGCACCTCCAGRAAATAATCTAGTCCCCATTGTCTATGCCTCTCTGAGAAGTCATCAACTTTCTCAAGACAATTAATTTCACAGCAGTTGCCTGAAAAGGAGGTAAGAAAAAMAAATTAGAGAATGATTAGCCAAAGAAAAATACAAACTATCCAGTAAAAAAACTAAAAATCTTATCCACAGATTTCTTCACAGTCCCTAACACAATGACACAAATGCACTGGGGGAAACTTACTGTCTCTTTTGCACTGGGATTCAACTGACCACACCAATGACTCACTGCACACAAACATTGCTAGAGTCTCAGAAAGTTGTAGATTTAAAAGTGAGATATTACAACACATCAGGATTAAATTCCTGGCATAGCTCCAAATTTCATTATTTTGATGGAGTTGTACATTTTTAGCATTTTCTTTGAGTGCCATGTTACTTTTCTGCTCTATCAAAAAAGTACAGCAGAAACTACAGCACTGGTAGGACTCGTATTAAAACCAGGGCAGCTGGCTGATGAGGTGCAGACAAAGACAAAATGGTCAAATGGGAGTCAGACTGCAGCTACAGGATTACTGAGTGCAGTATGAATCCTGGGAGAATAAAAAAATATCAAAGGCATACAAGAAACTGTTTGTCTCTTGGGTTTTCTTCATATCTTTGAAGAACTTTTTCAGAATTTTCCTCAACAGCAAAATCCCTGTGTCTAAATGGTATTTATTTTTCTCCCTATTTTTCAATGACTCCAGCCCTTAGATAAGAAGCAAATGACTGCACCACTCATCACAGGGCAATGTAGAGGCATATAAACATCTTTATGCATTTTGGGAAAAGAAGCCTAAGTGTTAGCTGAAAATTTACTCACCAAACAAACTTTTAATTTCACTTTCAGGAACATAAAATGGTGGGCCTGAAAGAAAAGGAATTAAACCAATTAGAAAGGAGACATGGGAAGAAGACAAAATTTACACTACAGTAGGAGAGCCAGCCCCTTCGCTCACAGCACCTGGCCTGTAATTGGGCCCCAGGGCATAGCACCATCAGCAGGAACTAGAMAACATATCCAGGAACTCATGGCACCTTGGTGGGCCAGACAGCTGCAGGTATTAYTGCTGCTTCATCTCTTCTTGCAGCAGGGAATCATGAATGTGACATGGAYACACTCTCAGTGTGCTGTGTGAATCCAGTCTACAGTCTCTTTACACTGCAATGGCATGATTAAAGCTAAAAGCGGAACAATGTGAGAGGGAAWGCAAAGAATTAAACCACTGTTGTCTGTGATAGCAAGACCTATTTTTGGGGGGAATAACTATGCTGAAGGGCCCAAAAGAAGCAAAAAAATCTCTTTCTTGTGTGAGTTATTATTAACAAAAAATCTGCACACTTCAGTACGTAATAGAAAAAACATGAAAGGMAAAAATACCTTATGACTTTACAGAATTTCACCTCTTTCAAGGACATTCAGAGCATGGTAGTGGCTGACAGAGAGGCACAAGATGGGCAACAAGTTGGGTTGCAAATACTGGACTAACAGCATGAAGCTGATGTTCTTGGGAGTGTTTCAAGCTCCCAAAGCCAGACAGGATGTTTTTGAGTGCTCACACTTCCAGCTTCATTGTAGCAGCCGCACTTACAGTTTCATTTCATTTTTAATGTACCATGACCATCCTCAACCTACCCKTAGCATATCTGAATGCTAGAGAAAAAACAAATTTAGTCTCAAGCCTGGTCAACATCTACACTTTTTAACACACATTTATACGGGTGTGATCAGCTAACAAAGCTGTGCAGATAAAAAACTTGAGGAAGATACTAATACATCTACTATATCTATACAATTTGTATTAAAGCAAAATCACAACATGAAYGTAAAAAGTTCTCACCTTTGTGTTTGTTTGGATCATATGAAACTGTAACAAGGAGATAAGTAGAATTTTTCTCTACTAGGCTGATCATCAAACTGGCATAGCTAAAAGGAAAAAAAATATATTTTATTATTTTTGTAAAGCATTTAAGCATAGCATTCAAATATTCAACAAAATGCATTTCTATGCAGGCAGAATTTGAACTGAACTGCACAGATGACTAAGCAAAACTTAGTATGAATTTCAGGAGCATGAAATTCATGCTACACATGAAAAAYATCAAATAAATGTTATATTTATTCCTCATAAACAAGTGTTTATCCTTTTTTTGCACAGTCAACACAAGATTAACAGATAAACTGAATATTCATCTGTCACAGTCTAGAATGCAGTACACATTACAGTACTGATCTTTTAAAATTATTGTGAGTTGAAGATTATGTATCTAATTAAAAAATCTCGGGAGTAGGTTCAAACTAAATTGACTATAGGCAAGAGCAAAAATTTGGAATCAAGGAGAATGAGGAGAAAAAGAACAAAAAGAGAAGAAGATGCCCAGGTGAAAAGGAAATGACAGAATTCAGATGACACTTGCAGCTCTGCTTCTGCTGGGYTGGAACAAACCACATATTTTCCCACCAAGAGGCATAGCAGTTTCCTGAAAGAACTTCACAAATCTTAAGTACAGCACTCTGCAATTGCAGGAGATGCTTGTGGCAGAGAAGAAGTTGTGTAGGTTGATCCTGTGACTCATCAACAAGTCACAGGATCAAAAACTTGTCATTGATACATYAGAGAAAGACAATAACAATGCAATTTACTAACCGTTGTCTGTCACATGGATTCACGGCTACAAGAGCTCCTCTGTCCCAAACCCCATCAAACTTGCCAACTATTGAGCTATAAAGGAGATAAGGAAAAGTTTTAAAGTAGTAAAAAGGCCCCTTTATCCTTATTCAGATACTTTCTTGTAGTCACAAGGACTCTGCAGCTAATGAGGCAGATTCCCCACCACCTTTTTGTTATGATGCAGCCTTTTCATAATCCAAACAAATCTGGAACTCAAGAAACCCTCCTGGTTCTTGGTCCTGCTACGATAGCAAAGAGGTGCTGGAATTGGTCCCTATTTCCCCATCACTAGGAGGTGCTGAGATGTAGCAGGAAGGAAGGAATGTAGTTTTTAACACATTTGAGCTACAAGTCTGTAGTGCTCAGTAATCACATCCTGCTGTCTAACAAGCATGCAGGATATCAAYAGTTCTTGACCACCTTCTAAAACCCACACGTGATTTCAGATGCAGGCTAAGGAGGATGCTTTGTTGCTTTACTGTCATTGAACTCAGCACATCCAGTAACTTTAAACACCTGAATTCCCAGCTACAAGCCCAGGACAGTTAGCTTCAGCTTGCAATTAATTTAATGCTAGAAAAGCTAAGTTACACTGCTGCTTGCCTCAGTGAAACATTGCTGCAGCACTGGTTTTGTTTCTGGATATGCTGGCAGATGGCTTCAGTGACCACCCAAAACCTGTGAGTGGGCAAGACTGTCAAGAAATGCCTTTACTGATGAGTGGGCAGTCAGGGAGACACAAAAGATAAGAATATTCAGGGGACAAGGAAACGCCTTGGTTTTGGTAATTATTGAAATAGAAGGCCAGACAGTAAGGTAGTAATAACATATATCGTGCATTTTTAATGAAAGTTTGAATGAGTTAGAAAAATGTGACATGGAATTGTGCAATACCCTACTGCCTACTGGGCAGGTGTCAGAGTCCAAYTGCATCACCTCTGTCTTCATTTCTTGTGCTGGTTTTGGCWRGAGTATTATTACCTTTCTTCACAGTAGCTTGCATGGGGTTGTGTTGGATTTGGGCTTGAAATCACATTGATAACACATTGACAATTTAGTTACTGCTGAGCAGCACTTACACAGCACCRRCACCTTTTCTGCTCCCCACACYGTRACACCAGTGAGTAGGCTGGAGTGCACAAGAACCTACAAGAAACTGGGTGGGAACTCAACCGGCACAGCTGACTCCAAATGAGCAAAGGGATGTTCCAGACCATCTGGCTCCATTCTCAGCAATAAAACTGGGTGGGAGGTTGGTGGATGGAGGCACTGCTTGGGGACCTGCTGGGCATCAGTTAGTGGGCAACTGCTTTAATTTGCACCACTTGTCCTGCTTTTATTTTCCTCTCTCTTTGGTTGTTCTTCCGTGTTGTGGGGTTCTTTTTTTTTTCCCCCTTACAGCTTAAAACAAATTCTTTTTAATTACTAAACTGTTCTCATCGCCATGCATATGTTTCTTTGTCACTTCCGCCCTTTTGATTTTCCCCCATCATCTCATGATGGGGGGAATGAGCAAGCAGCTGTGTGGTACTTAGTTCCCAGCCAGAATTAAACTATGAGAACTTCTCTCTGTCCACTGCTATTTTCATTGCAATGGCATTGCTAAGTCTCTGGCATCTAACCTACWAGCTGATCCTGTATTTCTCACTCTACTGTGATGAAACACGGTAACACTTCCAAGTGCTGACTTCTTTCAAAGTTTGCCAAGTCTAAGCATCTAATTTAAATAACCAGATTTGTAACTGAAAGGAGATKTTTAAAGAGACAGTTAAGCAAAGGACATGCAGGGCACAAAGGAAAGTTTAGTGAGGCAGGTGACAAACTTGATCTTCTGAGGGTTGGAGGCAGTTCTCTGCGTAGCTGAGTCTGCTGTATGACCTTAGGCAAGCCACTGAGGTTTTCTGCACTTGGTTTTTCTTTCCAACTTCAATCTGGTCTAACTGGAATGGTGGCAGTGGTTCCTTACAAGCATTTCATGTACTTTACTCCCCAGCAATTTCATCAGGGCCTACAGGCATCCTGAGCTGCAGGCAGGCTCATGCTCTGGCCTCGCCCCAGTCCTGGTCTCCTGGCTGCCCAGATCTCAGGACCTGCTAAGTGTCTGGGTGCTCCTTGCCTCTCTGCACATCCAATTTCCTTCAGAACACAATGAAGCCATGAGGAAAAGTTCAAAAAAGGCACACAGCTGTCTTTCACCCTGATGTGGAGTCAGGATGAAGCTAAGGTATTAGGAAACGCATCCCTTGGGTGTACCTTTCACTGTATCACACTGCTATATCTTTATATGGCATTCAGCATGGKTAAGGTATTACTACAACTAACAAAATTCACATGAACCAGAAATTCATGTATCTACAGAAAGCCCACTGGATTGAAGAGAAAACTTGTGTATTTCTATATCCGCGTATGTTAAATAGTTTCAGTTAATGCAATTCTTGATTTTTTTGGAAGTCTTGCAGCCATAATTGTATCAGGAGGTACAATGATTGTGTAATAGAACTGTTTTACATATGTCCCAGAATTCCCAGAAAGAGCAGTAATTCCTGTTACTCTTTAACTAGTAAGAGTCTTTGAAATGTCTCATTCTGACAAAGGTCAGGAGCACATCTGAGTTTTCTTCTAATGAATGCTAGGCTAATGTAGATCAAAGGAACCTGTTAGTAGGCCAGCCTCGGCAAGAGAGAARTAAGTTTAATTTCCATAATTACTGGGTAATTAATCAAATTGCCTGCACACAGAAACTAGAAGTGTGTGTGCATTTTTCTAGTCACAGGTATCTGCTGAGTGCTGTTGGGAATACAGTTCATTCTGTGTCCAGAAYGTCTATCTGCCAATTTATTTTGTGGACAACGAAGTATGTACTGGATCCAGTGATATGCACTGAAATTGTCACTAATTACCCAGTTTTGTTTATTTCAAAGTATCATTCTGCCATATTGTGATGGAACTTACACGTTCCACWACACTACTTGCTACAAAACTTGTGATTGAATTTTTCAAAAATTTCTGAGAAATTTAAGCAAYCCCTGGGCAACTCATCAACTCACAGCAAGAAGGATTTACAGGGGTCTACACTGTAGGAACTAGCTACACTGGAGAGCCAAGGTGAGGAAGAAACCAGGCAGTATYTACAAAGTCACATTCATATACAGCCCATCTGGTCAACACTTTGCAGGATTAGTTACATACACACTATTCAAACCAAATGGAGTCACCTGCTACAGCAGAAGTCTTAGTCATGGTCTATTGTCTGAAAGACTTTGGACTTTAGTAATGAATAGTTCTTTTTCCAGTGTTTTGGCAGATTGAAAAAAGATCATATAGTAAACACTGTGTTCTGTGTCCTGAACTACCCATTGCACATGTATATGTACTAGTTCTGGAAAGCCAATTGAAGTAAATGTTAATTCTTTACCTCCTTCTTACTGATGAGCCATGGAACAAATCCTTATGCCTGACAGTTGTTTGTATGAGGAGCAAACAAACACAAAAAACTTCACCAAAATCTTATCATCTAGGGAAAAACACATCTGAGTAGGAACTGAAAGAGGAGAGAACTATGATGCTAAGACATCTCTGGATATATTCCCTTTACTTTTTACTAAGCTACTCTGAGTAAGGGATTGTGCTAGAGTTTTGCTTCATAGAATTAATCAATAATGTTAAAGATAATTCRGTTTTACTGGACAAGCAAACATGTTCTTTCACTGTCATGGCTTGGAATAAGAAGCCCATTTAAAGATAATTAGTTGTCATCCTTAATGACCAACAATGGAATTACACTTTTGTTGGAGATCAGCTATTCACATTTCTCATACAAGTTAATACAAGCTTTTTTGACAAGACCTGACAAATATTTATCTAATTCAAATAAAATAATAGTATTGGACAGTATTAATACATATTCCATTCTGGAGAATTGTAAAACACAATGAGTATTCCTACCTGGACAAATCATAAATACTGCAGCAATAGAGTGAAATGTTGCCAGACGTACTCTACAATAAAAAGCAAAGGAAACAATCCTTATCAGCAAACTATCTTTAAATATGCACTCASAAGTATCTATTTTTACTACCTATCTTAAAATACACCTATACACTATTTAAAAAAGAAATTTAAAAGATACCTTCACATGTAATGGAGAAAACCWGTGAAAAACATTTTTAGCTTTAATTTACTGAGCTAACTCTTCTGATCCTCTCCAGAKAGGTTCTAATCTATCAAGGCATGCAACTGTCCAGCTTTAAGATACATTCCTTCAACATTCAGATCCTTCACTGTCATAAGAAGGCCAAAGGAGAAAGTTTAGAAGAATAATTTCTCAGTCCAAAAGTACAACTCAGAGCTTCCTTTCAAAAGTCTTCAGAAGAGATGAATGATTACCAGTAAAACAGAGGTGTAAAAGCAGAATTACTTGTTTGCTTAGTTATGTCTTCATTGCACGATCAACCACACCAGATCATTCCACAATGTAGGAGACATACCTGGAACATTTTTGCTCCCAAAATCTCAGGGACTGGCTCCTCGCAATAAGGCAGACTGTGCTCTGAAAAAAATTCCTTCACTGCTTGTTCRCTGACTTCCACACCAATAACATTGTGTCCCATGTCTGCCAGCCTGCAYCAAAAGAGAGAGGTCCCAAGTTTACGTGAGGCCCACAAATGTAGGCAAAATGTGTATCTCCCATGCATCATCTATTCATTAGGCAAACCCTAGTTTTAGGATGACCTAATATGTCTGATCCTGACTTTCTGAAGTGTTCACATTGTACTGAACACGTCCCTCCCRTGATCTGAGTTTAAATTAGCATCAATCAGCATACAATTGACAATGCTTTATTTAGATCCAATGAATTATTAATTTATTCCTACTAAATAGATTAAATCAGAGGTAATGACACTGAGAAACAGTCCATTTCAGAAAAGAACTGTGCTCTGAACTGAGGTGACTGAGGCTCAGTGTCCACTCAGCTGCCTCTGTGGCTTGGCAGGAACTGGCATTGAGGGAGGTGCAGTAAACTCTGCACTGCTGCAGCTCAGCACAACTGCAACTCTATGTGTCAGAGCCCACAGTGAGCCTAGAAAGTAGTTACTGTGATAAAGCCTGGTAGCTGAAGCTAGCTGGATTACTTGAGGATGCAGTTCAGTTTTTGGTTTGTGCTCCCTCCCTCCCTTTAAGAAAAAACACTGGCTTATATAGGCCCTAATTATAAGTACAATCCCCCCAAAAAAGGTAAAAGTAAAATGTGAAGTATAAAAAAGAGGAAGTTACATTTAGCCCAAATCATTTAAATTTCCAGAGTGACATGCCACGTGGTCTCTTGAAAATGTCGGGCACAAGTGACCTCACTGCAAGCAATTTAAACCAGCATTGCTACCAAAAGCAGCAGTGGCAAGGGCACAGCTTCAGCTACTCTGTCCATCTAAATACAGCATTTCCCAAGCTGAACTTGGGACAAAYAGAAGGACTTTCAGGTTAATCCTTACTGATTCCATTTATGCTACTACACAAAACACCAGCTTCCTCCTCCCTTCAGCTTCCAGTGAAGCTGTTTTCCTACCAGCGGAGAGGAGAGGCAGCACATTTCCATTGGCCAATATACAGTTGGGAATTCCCCTTCTTCYTCCCTCCTCCCCACATCAAATAAGACTTTTTCTTTTATTTTYTATGTTTTACCATTTCATCTCTACTGCTTTACCACAAAGCGGGAAGAATATCCTCAATCCACTCCTGCCATTTAGAAGAACATCCAGATACTTCCGGAGGAGCCTGCAGAAGAACAGAAGTGTTTCACTTAGCTCTGTGAGTATTTGTGCTGACACATGAAAAGCCAAGTGCTACACACCATGCCAGGTAGCACAAAAACTCTATGATGGCACATAGGTTATTAGCTCAACCTGCTTCATGCCATTAGAAATAAAGACATGAAATAAAAACATTCACCTTCCATTTACATAGCAAGAAAATAAATTTCACGTAATTCAGAAATTAACACATCTCTGTTTGTTCTATTTTCTGTTTGTCTTTGCAAGTAAACAACCTAACCMACCCACCTCTAAGAGGGCCATAACAAATTTTAAACAGAATGATTATTAAACTTCTGTATCAATCAAATCACTTCTACAGGTMTTGAAAGACTATACAATCAGGTTTGCTCTCTTAGGTCCTTGCCTTTAGCACATGGTTGTTGCCCTGATACCCTCTGCATTGTTTCAAGCCCCAGTTTAATAACATGTACTATAGTGCAAAGCTTCTCCATCAGAAAATTTAAGATTTTCTAGCTAAACTATCCAAGCTTTAAGGTTTAAAACCCAATTCAAGAATAAAAGCTCTAAATTAATTTCAATACTTTCTTTTCTCTGTCCTTTGACAAATGTAGGTCACAAAAATACCTGTCACCTACCTGTGACCTATTATTTAAAAAAAAAAAAAATATTTTACTTTAAAGCTGTGCCCATGAAAGATAATTTGCTTTTTGCAAATATTACATTTTCAATTAAAAGTTTTTCGAAAGAGCCAACTCACTTATGGCATTTCTTAAAACAGCTTAGGCAAAAAAGTGAAGTCACGTACGGATGCCCTTGTTCCTTGTGAAACCCGATGTTACCCATTTCCCATTTTTGTAGCCATTCCTCCTCTGTMACGACTCTCTCTTTCTGTGATCCAACATCAAAGTCTTCGAGGAGCCCGGATGCATCCGCTGAACGGTCCATGTCTTCAGGGAGTGCCTGGAACTGGGAAAAAAAAAGGGAGAAAAATTACGCCTACCCAATGCATAGTTTGGTACTGGCTCTTACTTCCTTGAATCGGACAAAAAATTTAGTAGATCTCAAAAGGCCACAATTTGATGCCAGCTGCAATGTAGCAGTACCGAACGCGACAGAGCACTCAGTGCACTCTTGCGACTGATGGCTTCGGCGAGACCCCGTTTCCCGGGACGAAGGCGGCCGAACGCGCCCTGTCCAAGCACTGCGGGACCGCCGGTGACCTCCCTTTTCGCACCCATCGGGAAGCCCCCCTACCCCTGTAATCAAAGAGGGAGATGTCGACACTTCTCTGGTGAAACCCGCAGGCAGAAAGCGGCTGCTCAGGGCTGGGGTACCCGGGGGTGACCCGTGGCGCTCAGCACCGCCCCCTCCCCGCCCCGGCACCCCCGCCCGGGCAGCGGCACCGCGGTACCTGCGCGACCGCGGCTCCCCGAGCGCGGCGGGGCCGGGGCGGCGCCTCCCCGCCCTCCCCCTCGCTACGCACCGCGGAGAGCGGAAGCGGCGGCAGGAGGAGGCGGGCTGAGGGTGCACGGCACCGGGAGGAGGAGGAGGATGGCGGCGGGGATGGCGGCGGCGGTGAGTGACTCTCTCCCTCAGCTGCAGCGCCCACCGCAGGGTCGCCTGGCCCCTCCCCGGGGCGTCGGGGCAGGTGCCAGCGCTGCCCCGTCCTCACCTACCCGCTTCTCTCTTCTTTCCCCCTTCTCTCTCTCTCCTTCCCTTCCTTCCTTCCCCCTTCTCCACCCTTTTTCTCCCGCAGCAGCTCTAGCAGGAGGCGGCGCGGACACGCGTGAATGTGGTCTCCGGCCCCCGAGTGCCCCGTCTCCGAGGTGAGTGCCAGGCGCCGGCCACAGCGCCTGTCCCGCCGCTTCCCGGCATCGCCGGGACCGCCCCCGCCGGGCTGCGGGGCAGCTCRGTCCCGGGGACACCTCTGCCCCAGGGGCTGCCCCTCGGGACCCCGCCCGTCGCCAGCTGTCACAGCCGCGGCCGGCGGGGCTGGGCGCCGCCGCTTTACTCAGGCTGAGTTTTAGAGGTTTGTGCACTCCCCGTGTTAATCAGGCTGCTCTCCCTTCCACTCCGACTCTGACAGTGTGTGTCAGTGTGGTTTCTTTCCTTTTTATATTTTTTTTTTCCTTTCCCAAAGACAAACTTGCTGCCAACTGTGCAGGTAAACCCCACAAAGCTTTCCAAWATAGGCCACGCTTTACAGATGGATGAAACATTATCGAATGTGACAGCGCATTATGCATCTCTCTCTTTTTAAAGGGCTTATTTTCTCAGCCAGTAAGATATCTACAGGATAGCATGCGAAGTCATGTAAAGCTTAGTAGAGTAAGCCATGTTTGCTTGTTCTCTAAAAATTTGTGGGTTGTTGGRGGCTGTTTTTGGTTTGGAGGGAAAGTGGGGACAAAGCGACATACAGCTGATCTCTTTTTCTCTCTTTCTCCCCACCTCCCTCTTACACCTCCCATAGTGCTTACAGCAAAACTATGTCTGTGATTCTGTACAACTGACCTCTGCCTTTCAAAATGGGAGGCCTCTCTGAATCTGRAATATTTTTTACCAAATTTTTTGAGGATTAATAACTGACATTTCTTCTATCCCCGTATATGGAACAACAAGGCTACATGTTCTTTTACCTTCTTGGATAAAAGGGCCCCATGGCAGCAGCAGACTGTGATCACCTGATGGTTCACCAAAATGAGTCACCTGGTGCCTTGCTCAGCACTCAGCACCTCTTGCTTAGTTGGCCACCGACTGTAAGGACCATGATATGTCGGAATGATTATTTACTGTCAAAAGCTAAGGTGATACAGAGAGCTACTGTTGTGCCACTGATCCATAAGGAAAGCTTTAGGCAGAAAAGYCACCATTTTCTGGGGCATTATGCAGCAGTTTAGGGAAATCTCATGTAAATGAAACTGGTTGGTTTTCTTTTCTCTACTCTTCAATTTCATTCACCCCTATACAGTAGTAAGTTAGAGTGAAGTGATGCTAACTTTTTTTTTAAATTTTTTTAGGTAGTAGAGATTGACTTAATTTTTTCCTACATCTAGCTAGTTGTAATTGGAGGGGATACGTGCAAGAAACAAAGTTTAATTTTGTATTGGGATGCTTGAACAAATTTTTCACTTACGAGTATATCTTCACGTGGCTTCCTCTCTCAAATAATTTCCTCTGTCTTGAGAGAAGAAGCACCAGTTTGCTTGACTTGAATCAGCTTAATATGAAATTTTGTAAGAACTCCCCCCTCTCCTCCGGTTACCTTTACCTTTAGCAAAATTTCTGAACGAAGATACTGTTGCCATGTCCATCACTGGCAGCTCGAATAAGGAATTTGCAGCCTGAAATGGGGAGATTTGAGAAGTCTCATATAAATATATATATACATATAAAACCTCCCAAAAACATAATTACAAACTGATCCCTATTGGAACAAGATAACATTCATGATGCAGTGCTATAGTACAAGGGGTTTATTTCCATTTGTTTTCTGCATGTGGTAGAGCACTCTTAGATTTACTTCTTCTAGGCTCTCTTTATTTGTGCTTTTCCCCCTGTGAAAAGAATGCCTTTGATAATACCATTTTAAATATGCTTTCATATTTCTGCATCATACTTTCTCACACTCAATGTTTTCCAATTTACACGTTTAACCGTGGTTCATTCTGTGCTCCTACCAATGCAAAGACAGCTACAGAGCGCTCTTATGTGTAAATCTTATGTCTTATAGAATACTTAACAAGAAACTTTAAAATATTCCAATCACTTATAGCTGCATTATAACAGCAGGCTAGACTTCGAATTTGGATGTATTTTCATAGGAGGGTGGGCAGGTCTTGGAGCTGCCTGTTATCTGGTGTTAAGCATCTCTTCAGTACACTGTTTGGAAAAGTGCTTTACAGTGCAAATCTCTTGCTGCCAATAAATCAGTAGTTRGAAGGATGAGTGTTACTCCAAGTGGTATTTGAATGCTTGTGTCAGCATTTAGCTGATGTCTGTTCACTTTGCCAACCCAAATTCCAGTCCAGGTCTTCAYGTAATGCAAATCAGATTATTGAAATCCAGGATATGCTGATCTGGAACAGCCTGCCGAGATGTACTCAGGGATCTAATCTTAACTATGAATTTAGTTTAAAATAGTAGTATTGTTCCTTTCCCAWAAGGTCTCATTCCCATTTTCCTTCAAAATTAACAGTCAAGCTGAACAGATTCTTACCTAGGTAACTCTGTCAAAAGTAGTATTGTGAGTGGCTGTGATTAGCTCTACAAAGTCGAGCAATTTAAATTAATTAACTATTGTCTACTTTTTTTTCAGATCTAACAATACAATGTCAAYGGGAAGGTTACGAGCAAAAAAAAAGGCATGTTCTTCAGATCAGTCTCCAGACAACCTTCCTGTGAGGAGTTCTGGAAGACAGGTATTTATAATAATGTAAAAACACGTGGGTTTGTATGTTTTATATTCTGTTGACATTTGTAAAGAAAGTGGGCTTCATTGTGGGTATGTTAGGTCTTAGAGTACTTATCCACAGAGAGGGAGAATGAGTTAATTCTGTGAATAAGGAGGTCAAGTGTCTCATTTTGCRAACAATATTCAGAAAAGATAAAAACCTATAATTATTTAATGTGTTAAAAATGCAATCACACATTTCTATACAGTCAGACAAAGTGGTCTGTCTATCTAGACAGMGGCATAGAACAACATAATACAAAATACCTTTGAAGCCTAGAAGAAACATTTGGTATACASTTTTGTATCCAAAAATATGCCCTAAGCCTACCCTAATATTTTATTTGAGGCACAGATTGCCACTAATTAATATCTGTAAGTATACAAAGAGGAGATTTTCTGAAGGAGAAACAGAATGAATGTATGAGGCCTGACTTTTTAACACATGGTGGACTGTAAGCTTTGCTTATAATTTCTTCAGTGGCATCAATTAGACTAAGGCAAGACATTTTTAGATTTAAATGATATTTCCAATCTTACTGTGGGTTTGGTGCTTTTGGTGGATTTTTTTTTTTTGTTGGTGGTTTGTTTTTTGTGGGGTGGCATTTTTGGGGTTTTTTTTTTGTTTGTTTGTTTTTGTTTTTCTTTGTGTGTGTGTGGGCTTTTGTGGTTTTTTTTTAGTAGAAAAAACTGACCTAATTTGACAGCTGTTTCATGCCGCAGCTATTTCACAATGGCTACAAAGATTTTCATTAGGATCATTTTAACTATGGGATGCCAGTCACAAGCTGGAAAACTGTCTGAATGCCACTTTATAGAAAATGCATTTGTGTTATGTATGGTCAGATCCCAGCTATTCTTTATTAGGTGAAGAAGAAAGCRGCTGAAGCAGCAGATGATGATGATGAAGCGTCAGAGAAGAAATATAGAAAGTGTGAAAAAGCTGGATGTACTGCAACATGTCCCGTTTGCTTTGCCAGTGCAGCTGAAAGGTTTGTTACTTTTTATTTGCTTTTTCATGCATTTTCTAAATCTGCAGCTGAAGTTTAGGATTTTAACTATATTCTGAAAAATTCCTTAATTTCTATATGTAGAGGGAGAAATGAAAGATACTACAAATAGGAGTCTTAAGATGCTGGGAAAATGTCACAAGTTTTTCCTGTAGTGGAAAACTTTCTCCTGTGGAAGTTGCTAATTCAGATGCAGAATATCGTTGTGATGTGCTTTATGTCATTAATGGTGTCCTCTGGAACATGCTTTGCTTCTSTGAAAGTGAGAGCATATTAGCATAATCTGAAAAAGCTAAACTTGCTTTCAAGATGGAAAGCAAAATCGTTATTTATTGTAGAAAGGCTTTAYTATACTTTCATTGGAATGCTTTGCAGTCTGAGGTGAGATTATAGGTGAATTAATCACCTATAGATTATAGGAGAAATTTATATATAAATTTCAATTACATATTGAAATTTTAGGTCTTAGGAGACAGTCATAGTCATCTGAACTCCTTGTTCTTGTACACTTTCTGTACACTTTGACAAGTGCTTTTGCACTCTGACCCTGGTGGTTTCCAATGCATGATACTGGCAAGGTATATCTGTAACAGGCAACATGTTAGACCTCRTTATGAAGCAGGCATACTGCAGTTATTTCGCACTCCTCCCTCCCTGATAATTGAGAAAAACTTCCCTTCTTTATAGCATTGAAAAGTAAATAAAAGTAATTAGGTGCTTCATTTAGTTATATCCACGGATTGTTCTTTGGTGGCAGGAAGTCAGTGTATTCTGGATGTTGTCATARGGAAACCAAGTGTTTTGGCAGTTGCCTGAGAGACTTGTCCAGGAAGTGAGCACCTGTGAGATCAGTATTGGTAATATTACAGTTTTTATTCAGGAAACGATGCATACTGCTTACTCATATTTTTGAATTGTTATTTTAATATTTTGATTTTCACCTTTCCCAGCCCCCAAGTACACATTTTTGTCTTTATTTTTTGAGTCGAGCTTATTTCATGGCTATTACATCACTGCTTTTTACCTTGTGCATTCATCTTGAACAATTTCAACAAGTTTGAGAATTTTCTAAGTGAAGAATGATTACTTTTTGTGATGAATATAATCTGTGTAATGAATATTTATTTTTGAGAGTAATAAAGAACAACTGCCCAGAGTGTGTAGCTGCTTCCTTAGAGTTTTGTCTCACTGGGTTAAAATCATAAGTTTTTCTTGAGAAAAAAATCGGCAACATCTGTTTTGTGTTCAGATTTGCCTTTATAGTTTTGTCAGTTGTTCTGGGGACAGAACATTGTAATGACTTACAAATCAAGTGATCACACGTACAGGAAAAATGCTAATTTATATTATCCCTCCCAACCCTGCATTAACATTAGAACAAAATGGAACAAAARAAAGGAACTGTAAGATCTTGTGGAGAGAGGCTTTCTTATCTTACAGGTTTGCAAAACAACTTAATGTGTCACAGCACATATTCACTGTTTAATGTTCAGGAAATGCCTGCTTAAAGGGTGCTAAAGACAGGCTCAGTTGACCATTGTTAGAGGGAGGCTGCTGGAAGCCAATCCAACTGTAAAACTTCACATTGTGTACACTTTGGCTCCTTTGCATCTGGTGTTGCTTAGTTTGGAAACTGAAAATATTTGAGACAATTGAAATGACCTTATTGTTATTTGTATGGCTGTAGTGCCTTGTGTAAGTCATCCTTTGTGAATGTGACATAAAGCCCTGGCTTGTTCTGAATATTTTATTCACATTCTAGAATGTGCTGCTGTCAATAGAAAGATTTTTTTTTCCCCTAAATGTATTGTAAAGCTATTTCTATGTCTCTTGCATTACAGATGTGCTAAAAACGGGTATACATCTAGATGGTATCATCTGTCCTGTGGGGAACACTTCTGCAATGAATGTTTTGACCACTACTACCGAAGGTAGATTTACCAATTAAGGCTGTGTCCTTTCAGAGCTTGCTAAAATTYGGCGGCTGTTACAACTGTTGAACCATCGTGTACATACATGTATAACAAAGACTTGCCCTCTGTGCTKGCTTTGGTCAGATGGAGGCTTAGACGTTGATGCTAAAACTGCAGTGTTGTATGGTCTAGTCAACTAAAACAGAGCAGCAYGAACTGCTGGTTGGTTTAGGCAGGCTTGTTTGTGTGTGCAATTGTTCTGAGGCTTTTGTCTTTTTTGAGAACAATGTCAAAGAATCTTAAATTATAAGAACAATTATGAGTGAATGTGTTTTCCTTATAAAATAAATTCACTTGACACTGTGTGACTGGGAGACCTTGCCTCTCTAAAGTGGTACTGTAAAAAGCAGTTAAAAATCAGTAAGGAGATTTAACTCTTGCGGTTCAGTGACCATGAAGACTCTTGTCAGGCTGACAGAGTGCTTTCAGCTCCAAGCTCCTTCTCATTTCAGCGGGAATTACATCCAGCTCTACCAAGACATTTGTGTGCTTATATGCTCAGCAGTACCCATCACTCAGTCCAGTGTGCTCCATAAGCAAAAGTACATAATGGTCAGGATGCAATTTATTGCTATCATATGAACCATGACTCTTTCCTTTTAACACCAAAAATATGGTACCCTCTACAGACTTACTTCTCTGTCCTTATAGAAGATGTTTCATTTTAGAATAACTGCTATTGCTTGAAAAGAACTAGATATTCAATTTTCTGACTGCTTGTTGTTTCCTCTTTCTTCTTAGCCATAAAGATGGTTATGAGAAATACACTGCCTGGAAAAGGATTTGGACAAGTAATGGTAAAAGCGAGCCCAGTCCAAAAGCCTTTATGGCTGATCAACAGCTTCCTTACTGGGTAAGGTGAAAGGTGATTTATGTAATAGGAATGTGATGTTCTGATGTGCTTCTGATATTCTTCTGTTCAAGCAGCAGGTCAGCTGAGTTTTTGTGGGTTTTTTTCCTAGTATTAGAGGACTGTGGAAAGCTCAAGATAAAAATTCAGATCAGCTCCTCCACTATTGGAGACTTTCTCCACACCTACAGAGACCAACCTTCTGTTACTTTTCTGTGAAGTAACAGCTGTGTGATGTTCAGGTAGAATGAGACCTGAAGGGAAAGTAAGAGCATGGAAGACTTTGAAATCAGATTTTGTAGTTCCCTGGTAAAGAGAGCAGAAGAAAAATGGGAGTGGAAGGAAGTTTGGTGGTAGGGGTGTTTTGTTCGAGTATTTTTTTTTTTCTTTAAGTGGTGAAGGATGTGTTTTTGATGTAATGCTTGCAAAGTCCACTGAAGACCATAGTAATGGGGCAAGTAATGGGGCATTGAGTTAATTTTGGCCTTAGATTCTGTGCAGAAATTAAGTTTTGCAGGAGATGGGTACAAGATTTCTGTAGATCAAACACTCCTTATGACCTGATGATTACACAAGAACATATCTAACAATTATATTTTACAGCCTTCTTGTGTCTCACTTCTTTCTAATTGGTTATTTAAGTTGCATTAATCTTATCTGTAATCAGACAGCAACAACTAAAAACATGTTTGTTTTTCGACTTCTAGGTGCAGTGCACAAAACCAGAGTGTGGTAAATGGCGACAGCTGACTAAGGAAATCCAGCTGACACCACAAATAGCAAAAACCTACAGATGTGGTATGAAACTGAACAATTCCACCAAGGTACCAYACAACAGTTTTGCTCATATTGAAGCTTAACAAGTTGGTATTTCTTGTTTGCAGAAATTAATTTCTTCTTGTTTGCTGCTCAGTGTCTCTAATGGCAAAATGGTAGTCTGATGGCCTGGAGAGCTGTGCAGTGACATGTCTACGTGCTGCTTGGACTTTTTGTTTTTTGACAGGAAATGTCAAGAAAGAAGTATCTGAAATATCTTTGCACAGGCAGTTGTAAAACCCTTTAGCTGTGGGAAGGCTATCAGCATGTACAAAATACACATATACCAAAATGCTCATTTCAGTTTTGTTTGGCCTTTCTTTGTTGTTGAGGAAAGCATTTGAAAAGCTCAATGAACTTTTCTTAATTGCTATCAAGTCTGTCATGGAGCTTTACATGAAAAGTTTCAGCTTTGGCATGCAGATAGCATCTTAATTTGAAAGAGTCCTTAAACTGCCATTGAATCTATAAATCTATCATATCTAATAATATGARAAAACATATCATATCTAATAATATGAAAAAACATAACATGAAAATGGTGATCATGTGAAAACCTGAAGGGTCAGCATTTAATTTTGAAACTGTGATAAAGATAATCTTAAAGAAACGCTCTTTTATAGTCTAGACTGGGAGAGTCACTCTGGAAAAATGTGGGGTATTTCCAAAGTTTTTCTGTAAAATTCTGTATTTTTTTCTTAATTTGTTTGTTTCAGTGTTCCACCCCATTTTATGGAACAGAATGTATATTTTAATGTCTGATCAGTAGAAACTAACTTAACAAATCAGAATAATTTTCTAGAGTGTTTTTGCTGGTGTGTTGTGTTTTTAACCTACACATTTCTCTACTTTTTTTTTTTAAACAATCATTCTACTACAGAAGGCTAACAATAAGCACTTTTTTTTAAATTTAGAGAATTATGCCATAGAAAATATTTGCTTTATATTTAATTTTTTCCATACAGCTTAAGAATAGCTCTCATACCATTCCCTTTTCTTGCAGACTGAGGGCTCAGACCAGTGTTCCATGCCTGAGGACTTGGTGAGTAGTGCTGTTCCTCCCCATTTGTCCTAGAATATGAAATTCTATTCTATTTCTATATGAAATGTCCTAGAATATTAAAGCATTGCATATTTGTTTTCTTTTTTACTTTGGTTCTTTGGCCACTTATGTCAGTATTTATGCATTTTGCTCAGGAATCTGTCAAACACCATTTACAACAGAGCCTGGGCCTTTTACTTTCTCATCTTTTTTCCACTTTTCCCATACCATACCAAATAGCTTTCAAGTGGTTCATGGTGTCCTTGATTCATAGCCTGTGACTCAAAGTTTACTCCTCGTTCTCATTTTTGATCAGGCAAAATAGTATTCAGTTGCCAGTTTTCAAGCAAAATTCCCCGTCTTAAGATTTCCTTGTCTTTCAAATGGTTTCTATCTGTAATCAAGCTAGTCTCCTTTTTTGAAGACTGCAAAAGAACACTTAAGCATGTCTTCTCCCTCCCTTCCCTCATAATGCAAAACATGCACACAATATATATGTTGGTGTTTCAAGAGGTTTGTGATCATGTCACCCTGCATTTCATATTTCATATAACCTTATGTTCAGTAAGCTGACATTCACAAGTGCGCCTGAGGTGCTTCTATCACAGGGAACATGTTCAAGCTTCTTGCTGACTCTTGTAGAAGTTTTGTGGCTTTGTTTCGCTTATGCATGTTTGACTTRTAAATTAAGGCTAATTCATTAGTACTTCTTAGAGTTCTAGAAGGTCTTTGACGGGGATAGCAGAATCTATATTAAATTGATCTGTTAGTGTAGACTTTTCTAAGTTCAGATTTCTGGATGAATAAGTGACTGAATGTTTTACAAAGGGTCTGATAAGGCACAGATGTGTTGTTAYGGCATGTCTCATTTGTTTACTTTCCATGCGGTGTGGAGTTTGTGAAGTTTTAGCACCATGTCTGAGGAAGAGATCAATACTACAGATTTTCTGTGTCAGGCTGAGGAAATGGAAAGAGGGAGAGAAAATGTCTTTATGACTTGCAATTCTGAGATTGGTACTTTTAGTTCTTTTTGGTCTCAGTTTTGGAGGGAGGGGGGAAATTGGTTCATTTTCCAAGGTTTTTAAAGTACTGACGTGTTCTCTTCTCCCCACTTTCCTTCACTTCTCCGCTTGGCCAGAGAGTGGCTGAAGTTTCAGACCATTGGTGGTACTCCATGCTCATACTCCCTCCTTTGCTGAAAGACAGTGTGGCAGCTCCCTTTCTAGCTGCATATTATCCAGACTGCGTGGGCATGAGTCCATCCTGTACCAGCACTAATCGGTTACCTGGTGAATCCAACCTTGTGAAGTTAGAGCACTTAAAGAGCGTGCCTAATGTGACTGGTAAGGGCCATCTGCAGGGCTCTGTTGCTTAAATAGGTGTGATAAATTTTGTCTTATAATTGAGTTTATAAGGCACATAATTCTCCTGATACAGAACACTGGTTTTGTTCTCAGCACTAATTCACACTCTCTGTGTGACTGCCTCTGTAGTTTGATGCCATTTGCTTCTTTGAAGGATAAAGCGAATACATTTCTTATGGCTTTTCTTTAGGGAGTAAGCACAGACTKCAGAGGCTTTCTGTGTACCACTGTCATTTGTGTATAGAAACCAGAAATTACCACGTGGGTACCTAAAGACTGTTTGCATTCTTAAGGARAGAAGATTTATAAAAAAAGCCCAGGATTCTGCTAGTTGTGATATCGTGTATCTTTGGGGTTTTGAAGGAAAGAATTTGATTTCTTAAGGCACTCAGATTCTGGTTAGGGGTTAGGGTTGGGTTAGGGTTGTTTTTGTTTTTTTTTGCTAGTGACAGCCTGGGAGAGCAGATCTGCAGAATAGGTCAGGTATAGAGAAGGGTAATTCCGGATTGTCATGTTCATGTCAGAGAGTGCTTTGAGGAAATTTCAGCTTCGGTGTTGTCTTAGCAGGCTTTGTTCTCCTTACGTGCTGAAAACAGATCTGTTCACGTGTTCAACAGATGTTTATCTGCTTAACAGAAAACTCCATTACATAGAGCTACCAGTACTGAACATGGAAGATGAGTTATGACCCACTCTGGGCAGTATGGGGAGTTGGAAAAGAAAGGAGTTAAGAGTACTATCTGAGTCTGTACAGTGATGCAAGTCCTCAGACTTGAATTTAGATCCTACTCCTTGTTGGACTCCTCATGGCATTGGAGTGCCATGAAACATTACTGTTTCTTTGATAAAACTTCAGCTCTGACAGGTGCAAGGTGTACCCATCAGGCAGCAGGACAATAATTAATGCACAGCCTAGAGAACAGGAGAGAGGTGAGCAGAATAAATGGAATCATTCTGGAGGTGCCTACAGGCTGGAAAGCTTCCTTACTTGTTATCTGAATGAGGTCAATGGATTGTTTTGGAGGGAAAAGGATGTGATGAAGATATGGTGGGGTATGACTAATTCCTGGTGTGTCTTTATTCAGTTGCAGGYATGAACAAGTATTTCCAGCCTTTTTACCAGCCCAATGAATGTGGGAAAGCACTTTGTGTAAGGCCAGATGTCATGGAACTGGATGAGCTCTATGAGTTCCCAGAATATTCACGAGACCCTACCATGTACCTGGCAYTGAGAAACTTGATTTTGGCTTTGTGGTACACAAACTGCAAGGTAAGAGATGCTGATAGTTAATTTGTTTATTTAAAAATAATAGCAGCTTTTCTGGGATGTGGGCTCACTTGTTAGATGTCTCCTTATGCACCAGAAAAATTGCTCCCATGTTTTTTAAAATCCATTCTAAGATTGACTGGGTTTTTGGGGGGTTTGTTGGGGTTGAAAGTTTTTTTTTTTTTTGGTTTGTGTATAGGAGCTTCTTCTGCAGTAAAAATCAAAAGTTTTTAAATTCTTAAAACTTTACAGTGCCTGCCCCACTATTAACTTTTTAAAGGGATGCTTGAACACGTCTAAACAGTGTTTTGTGGGCACTTTATGATTTTTTATTTTTTTAACCTCATTGTTCGAAAGGGAAGTGATTGYCTTTTTACTTAGGCTAACCCTATGGCACTGCCTTTGATACTGCTGAAGTTTCACATACYGAAGCTTTCTGATGAGTGGATGTCTGCATTTATGTGAAGGTTTTGGATATKAATCTATTTTCCCCTTGGAATGCCATTGTGAGCATTATCACCATGTAGATTCATTTTGTAAATTGGAATCCATGTCAATACCATTCCTGTACTAATGGAGCACACCATGAAGTTTGTGAAACTCTCTTGCAGATTCATTTGGTTTTATGCCATGCTAATCTTGCTTAATAAATTTTTACTTTCCTGTGTAAAGCTGGCTAACAAGAAATTTCCACAAAAATTCTTTCAAAATGCTCTCAGAAGGCTGAGTGATAATTTTTCACCATTTGGTTTAGAGTTCAAATATGATAAACATATGAAAAAATGGAATATTAGAAAATCAACAATTTCTATTTCTTTCCTCTTTGCAGGAGGCTCTTACCCCTCAAAAATGTATCCATCATATCATTGTTCGGGGGCTTGTGCGGATTCGCTGTGTACAGGAAATGGAGAGGATCCTGTATTTTATGACAAGGAAAGGGCTAATTAATACAGGGATTTTGTCAGTCAGTCCTGACCAGTACCTTCTTCCTAAGGAATACCACAATGTAAGTTGTAATAACCCTACATTATTAGTGCTATAAAACTGCATGGTGCAAACAGTAATTTTTTTGTTTCTGTTTTGCTCATTTACATAAATTGATGGAATGATAGGTAAAATTACATCTGAAAGCTAACCTGTGGCAAGTTTTTCACATTGTTCTCATATGCCTTCAATGGGTATGGAAACTACATACATTGGATTCCTTCCAAAAAAGTTCTTTTTCCCCTAAAGTCTATGGAATTAATTCCCATGGATTTGTGCTTCCCATGAGCTGTTCAGATGGATGGGAACTGTGTGAAAAATATACAGATTCTGTGGCTCACTTCTGTAATACACCTCTGCTTCATAGGTGAGGAAACTGCTATTCCATGTTGGTTTGCAAGAACTATGATTAAAAGGGAACATGTTTATGACTAGCAAKTTGTTAGATAGCACCCAAAACTTATTAAATAAATATATTCTGTAACAGAATAATTCCTAGAAATCATAATTCATGTTTGGAAAGTGTATTTGTAAATGTTTTTCATCTAAGAAATAGTTTTTACTGGTCAACCCAGTCTATGATTGAAATCATTACAAAGTTAAGCATGTTTCTTGTCTGATAATTTCAGTTAGTTTCCTAYTTTTGTTACTGATAACTTCAGCTCTTTCTGTTAAAAGAAATGGAGGCATCTTCTTTTGAAGTCCTTAAAAACTTTAACTATTTTTAAGGCTACCACTGATCTTTTTTCTATATTAAATGCACTGTCATCTTGAAAAGTTATCACAGATTACTTTAGAGGACAAGAGGGCCTAGTCTTCTGAAACCTACAGACATGTTTTCCTTTACCTAAAGACAAATGAGTGAAATGACAATTTCTGTTTTATTTCTAACTATTTTTATTTAAATATTTTAATATTTTTTAGAAATCAGTCATTATTGTTGGTGCTGGTGCAGCAGGATTAGCAGCAGCCCGACAATTGCACAACTTTGGAATTAAGGTAAGAAGCTTTAAAGTACATTACTTTAAAAAATCAGACTTTCTCTGCTTTGAAAAGTGTTGTTCATCAAAAAGAAAAAGCCTACATTTTTGTTACAAACATGTAATAGGGCATCCTATTAATTTGTAAAATTTKGGGTTTTACTGAGTAAACCTGCTCCTTAAAACCAGCATTTATTTGTATCTAAAATTAAACAAAGCTTGCTGCATGTATTTTGTACAGACACTGCATGCAAATCATTGTGTTTAATAGCCTGTAGCATGCCTTAAACTCCGATTTTGAGATTTCTTGAATAAGTCTTCAGCTTTTTTGAAAAGAAGGCTTATTTTTGTTAGGGTTGTTTCTAAAGTAACAGTTATATTTGTACATGTATATCCCAAAGTGTAACCTTTCTAAGATGATTTAAAAGCATAAATTAACTACAAATGATCCAGAAAGGAAGTTAAAGTGTTAAGATTGTTATTGCTGGATTGCTCAGGGATTTTTTTATGTTTTGTTTTCTCCTTTGCTCTGTAGTTGAACAGATATGTTTATTAGAATTAAATCTTACCATTTACTAAGCTGCATTTTGCCACAGATCATTGTCTTAGAAGCGAAAGACAGAATTGGTGGCCGAGTGTGGGACGATAAGACATTCTCAGGGGTCACTGTTGGAAGAGGTGCACAGATCGTCAACGGATGTGTCAACAACCCAATGGCACTAATGTGTGAGCAAGTGGGTTCCTGCAGTGGTCATGATTATCACTAGTGAAAAGCTGTTGTTAAAGCCAGGCTCAGGTGGCTGGGTAAGGGTGGGAGTCCTTTTCTTGTGACATGATTAAAATCCTGTTCTGCATTGTAAGTAAACTCCATGTTGCTATTATACCTTTGATAACAGYTGGGAACAGAGAAGGGCTGTAGAATAGTTTCAGGCACGTTATGTAAAGGAAAACAAGGTGACTGGGGCTTCAGAACCAGAAGAAACTCCTTTTTTCCTCTTTTCTAGAGATAGTAACATAAAGGTCTCCAGCAGACTTCCTCAGGGCTGAGAAAGGGCTTTACTGTGGGAGGCTGTTTCTGTGATGGATTTGCCTTTGCTGCCTCTTGATATTTCTWGTTAAATTCCGCACAAGTAAAGATTAACATGTCTAACAACTAAATTGGTATCGATGCAAACATGCTGCGGTTCAATATCTTTAAAAAATGTTATTACTTGCTGGTTTGATTTAGGTTTTTTTGAGGCAGGAGTCTGAATTTCTCCAAGTGGAACCTGACTATGGATTTTGCTCAGAGACACATGCAAATCCAGCYCCTGTCATTTTAATTGTTTAGTGCCCTATAGTACCATGAAGAAATTCTAGGTTTTTGAAAAAGTAATGTTTTATTTATGAGATGGAGAACAATGGCTTCTGGATATACTTCAGATAGTCATCCTTTGTGGCCATTTAATGTTATTTTTCATTGAAAGTACAACTGAATCTTAAAATCTGCAGTGGTGACCAATAGCCTAGAGAGATGTGAGGATATGTGAAAAACATTGGAGCATGCCCTAAGTAAAAAGGCCCTAGGAAGAAATTCGCTCTATATTTRTGCTATTTTCTCTGAATTGACTCTGTAGAACACAAAGCCATTTTTATTTGAATTTAGTGCTGTTGCATTTTCAATGCAGGTTGGACAAGGAAAGCAAGGGACTAGGTTTATTTCAAAATAATTTCTTTCTTTGCTTGATTGTTAATAACATTGGTGGTAACTGGCAAGCAATATCTTGTCAATTACTGAATTCAGGGAACTGTTTGGGCCTCAGACACCAGAAAGGTGTAGAAAATAACTGATTTTAATTGTGACTTAGAAAATAAACTRAGGTAGAAATAAAGGAGACTGGTTCATCCTGTTTCATTATCTGACTACATTTCTGTACTAGCCCTTGCCTGATAGAAAAGTTGCAGAGGAGGTTTCTGTGACTCCCCAATAAAGGAAAGRRTGGAGAAGTGGRRRAAAMCCCTATCTGTGGGCAGAAGGACAGACAGAAGGACTGTTGGTATTCCAGTTTGAAGAGACCAAAAGTTAATCTGAGTGAAGTTGTCAATGTTTTTGAAATGTATCACTTAATCTGAGGCATTCACTCTACATTAAGTAACTTTGAGCAGGCTGGGTGCTGCAGTTTTTCTATACTTAAAAAAGTAATAAAATTTCTTTTTCTTAAGCTTGGCATTAAAATGCACAAACTAGGGGAGAAATGTGACTTGCTCCAGGAAGGTGGAAGGATAACAGATCCCACTATAGATAAACGTATGGACTTTCATTTCAATGCCATCCTAGACGTCGTCTCTGAGTGGAGAAAAGATAAAACCCAACATCAAGATGTCCCTCTTGGAGGTAAGTGAGAGATGTATTGCAAAGTGAAGATGTTGGCTGTGTTCACAAAKTTCTATATTAAATCGGCTCTTACATCAGATATTTTTAAAATGTATGGCTGTCCATCTGACCTTAAATCCAGTGAGATTATCCAATAGGATTATAAGATATATTTCTGATATTGTATCTTGTTTTCAGAAGGTAGCTTTTTCAGTATAACTAGTGTCACTAGCAGTCCAAAAGAGTTGCTTTTGGCTGAAGCAGGCCAAGCTAGCCCTAGCTCTTATACTTTCTGACTAATCTGCCTAAAAAAGAGCCTGATCAATGCCTTCTGCTGGCAAGAATAGTCTTATCTCCATTGGCAACGCCTCCCACCACACTTACAGCTTGTAAACTCAACAGCAAAAAATAAACTTGCACAGGAATGTCTGCCTCCCAAATCCCTTCAGCAAGGATTCTGTAAGACAGAATTAGCAACTCCTGTGTTCTTCAATGAATTCTAGATCAAATTTCTCAATCCCTTTGATTCTGTAAAAGTTAATCAGGATTTATTTGCAAGGTTTCTCCATTATCTTAAAATGTATTTTACCTCAAATATCTYCAGCTGTATATTGATGATAGCTAAACAGTTAATTTCTCTCCTGTCTCRCTCAGAAACTTCTGAGTAAACAACAAAGTTGTCCTCTATCACTAGAAAGATCTTGTGGTTTTGAGGTTTTTCTTCTCTGAGAAGAAAAACATCCTGGTACAAATTAGCAAATAAGCTTGAAAATCTTGTGATCCAGTGAATAGCATGTTGAAATGCACTAGGACTTCCAACAAATTGTGATATATTTTTATTTAAAACATGTTCTTTTACAGAAAAAATACAAGAGATCTATAAAGCCTTTATTCAGGAGTCTGGTATCCAGTTCAGTGAACTGGAAGAAAAAGTACTACAGTTCCATCTCAGTAATTTGGAATATGCCTGTGGCAGCAATCTCTCTCAGGTGAGTTTTGACAGTGTGTTCTGAAGTGAGGATGGAAGATAGGGTTGGAAGTAACGTTGAGAAATCACCTGATCCATTCTATGGCCCTAGAGGAAGAATCAGCTGTCCTGACTATTCCTACACCCCTTGACCTGTTCTTTGAAAGCACTGAGACTCCAGCACTGCCTTTTTTTAATCTGATGGGAGTTCCTGATGTGCTTCCAGTGAGGTGCTCTTTAAGTAGTTGAGAGTAGATGGTTAGTAGACAGTAGGGCATTTTGCTGAGGTGCTGGGTGATATGATTCACATGAGAGTTACTCCTCCTCAGATGATGAGTGTGACTTCTGCTTCTCAGTTCTGTATTTAAAAGCAGAGGTATTTCTCTACCCTGCTATGTATCTCGAGAATAAATGCATTTAAGCATCTGAAGTGTTCCAGTTGCCTGATGGTGAGCCCCAGTTCCCACTCCCAGTTACTCTCTTGGCTACACAATACTTGGCTGCCTTCAYGACCTCAGTTTTAACCAAGCAGCTTCAGGAAATATCAAAGTATCATTATTGTTTGTGGTGCATGATTTACTCAGTCCTATTGCTACATTTAAARACATTTAGTGTCACTGTTACTATGGCAGTGGGACAGCTGACTGATATATGCAGATGCACAAATCTGAACTGAGAAGTGCGCAAGAACATTACAGAAATCTGCAAGACAGTGCTGTACCAGTCACTGGAAAACACTGTGATAGGTCAAGTTTTCATATTCCATGAGCACTCGGGGGAAATAGAAAAGATCAGAATTCTATCTTCATTTTAGAAATTAAAATATATGGAGCATAATGCAACTGCAGTGATAGGAATTGACTTCTAAATACCAGTTTGAGAATTTTCTCTGAAAAATGGTAATTGCTTAGTGAAAATGCCACTGTTTTACTAATGATAAGGTTGCAGGGGCTGGAGGAGAAGGTCAATAAAAGTTAACATGGAAGAACCTCCAAAGTGACAGAAAAATTCCATTGAGGGTTGGTTGCTTTTCTTTTAAAAATTTTATTTTCCCCTTGGGAAATAAAGTATTTCCTTTTTCATATGAAGTCCTAAGTCTTTGCTAGATATGGACAACTGAAATAAATACACTGCAATTCACCTGGATTTTTGTACTACTTTCCTTGTTTACTCTATCCGGCAAAAATATAAATTCCCTGCTAGTGACCAACCTATGTTATGACTTTCCTTAAGCCAGAAATTATTATTATCTTTTATTATTATGTCTTTTTCTTTCTATTATTATTATTTACCTATTAGCAATAGGTAAATAAGCATTTTGATTTTGTCAGCATTGCTATAAATTCTGGTGATACACTTTTTTTTTTCCAGTTGCAAAGGGTACTAGGGTGGCTTCTTCTAAACTGTGGAACTTTTCATAGTGCCCATGACCCTCACCAACAGAAATAGCCAGTTATGTTCTGTCCACAGGTATCTGCACGTTCATGGGACCACAATGAATTTTTTGCCCAGTTTGCTGGAGATCACACTCTTCTAACTGTGGGATATTCAACTGTGATTGATAAGTTGGCAGAAGGGCTGGACATCCGGCTGAATTTCCCAGTGAGTCTGGAAAACATTGATTCTAAGTGCCTGTCTTGGATTGCTTTGAAACACCCAGTCATATATTTGTATTCTTTGGGACAGGCAGATCTGTGCCTGTGATTGTTTCAATTTGTCTTTACAAAAACCCAAGAGGACAATTTCAGCATTGGTGAAATTCTCTTTAAGGACTATCAGTACTTACATATTATTATATGATGATCTTATATGTTGGAATAATGAGGACTTTTTSAGCCTATTTTCTGTCTTTCAGGATTTCTCTGGAAATTTGTGTTCTGCATTTTCTAGTTTGCAGACTGGTGTTATATTAGCTATTCTTGGTGGACTTTGCATTGCATATGTACATTTTGTTGTATAATCTTTCAATTTGTCTTTCAATAGGTACAGAGTATTGACTATTCTGGTGAAGAAGTGCAGGTCACTACTGCAGATGGAACAGTGTGGACAACCAAGAAGGTATCAAGTATGCTTCAAGACTTTAGAGAACATATAGTACATGTCCTTTTGGTCTTTATTTTCCTCTCAGAAGACTATTTAGTCCAATTTCTCCCCATTCAAAGGAGAATACTCATACATTTTAGTGGCTTGTATTTGGGTGTCTTAGAGCCTAATTTTTGGTGAGCATGCTTGAGGTTTGATTATGAGTTGATTTGAAGAACTAAGGACTATAAGGGGTAGTATGAAAAATGTGAAGCAAATCGATTTATATCTGGTCTTTGAAGTGACATTTGTCTGCTTCCAGTCCTAGATCAGCTTTATGCCATTTAGCAAGTGTATCTGCCTTGTTAAAATTTCCAGGATTTGGCAACCCTATTTCTCAGTCTCCCTTGTTCCCTGTATCCCCACCTTCTTTGTGCTGAATAATTGAGCTTTCAGTAATTTTAAAAATGGTACATAAACTTGATAAAGATTGGATTGATATCMACAATGTTACTGAACATATTTAAAAAAAAAAGGGATCTCTGAAGGCATTAAAACCAAACCACTGACCATGTCTCTCTCCTTTCAAAAAGACAGTTTTGTTAATCTGGGAGCCATTGACTGTCATTTACAGGAAGTATTAGTAGCATGGTTAGCCACTGTGATACAAGCAATTCAACAGACTATGACTTAAAACCAGTGAACTGTGTAAGGCATGTATTTGCCATTAATGGAAACTAAAACCAGACACTAATATAGAAATGTCTGATGTGTTATTATGCTGTTTCCTGCAAGAATAATCCAAAATAGCCAGGAGGATTCTCTGAGGCTTAAGTGCAATATTCAGGTTTTGCGAYTGTTGTGATTGTAGCTATTTCTTTCAGGTATTAGTGACTGTACCACTGGCCCTTCTTCAGAAAAATGCAATTCAGTTTAATCCTCCACTGTCAGAAAAAAAAATTAAAGCCATTAACAGTTTGGGAGCAGGAGTCATTGAGAAAGTAAGTGATTTCATAGTCTTGGATTTTGTTTTCATAGAAATATTGGCTGTTTTGTCCCTGTTGCTTTTGCAGTATATTTCTCAGGATTTATGATGCATTTTGTTTTACTTGTAGACAGTAGCCCAGGAGAGCAAAATATTATCAGGGACGACATGTACTTGTTTCTTAGATTTCCCAACTTAATAGTGTTTTTAAAGAATCTGTTTGCAGATTAATTTCATGGCTTAAACATTTTGTGCTTAATTTTGAGCAAGCCTTCATTATGGTCTTGGATCTTTCAGAATTCCAATAATGTGTTTATTTCAGGTAATTTTAACCTAGTAAATTCATAAGCTATTTGTGAAGAATACTGAAAGTTGTGTATTTGAGCAGTGTAAAATGTCCTACCCTTTCCCAATACAAAAACCTCTCCTGAAAAGCTCCTGAGTAAGATGTGTGTCTTATAACGGAACAGTAACGAAGTAATGCCAGAAACAGGATTTTAACAATGTTGAAATTTAAAAACAAAATTATGAAACTATAATACAGGATGGAGACCGCTTAAATTCTACACTAGGTTTGCAAAACAATCTGCTGAATTTCTTGAGTATTTTACACAATGACTTCCATTGTGGATTTGATATTTTGTGCATTTGCAATTTATGAGATTAGCGTTTTTTTTTCTTTGCCTGTCCTCCTTGGAGGACAAGCCCATATATTCTCTGTTGAACTCATAGAAAGAACTGTGTGCCAGCAGGAGAAAGTACTAGAAGAATGTATCCTGTTATGAGTTTTGTGGTATGAAATGCTTAAATTAATTTTCTCTATCTCTCTCTAGATTGCCTTGCAGTTTCCGTATAGATTTTGGGACAGTAAAATTCAAGGAGCAGATTTTTTTGGTCACGTTCCACCCAATTCCAGCCAACGTGGGCTCTTTAGTGTCTTCTATGACATGGATCCAGAGGTATGATATGCCAGYTGTATTTTCCCCCCCATTCAGTTTGGAATCTAGGTGCAGTAATTACTGAACAACAAAATTTTTCTTCCCCCCACATCTGCAGCTATTAAAAGCAGTGGAAGTTGTGTTGTTTATCAAGAAAAAACTGATCAATATTTTGTTGTAATAAATGGGAATGTTTTCCATTGTTTGGATACTGAATAATACACAAGCAAGTATGTACTCTAACTCTACTAAAAACAAAGCTGTAATAATACCTTACTATAGACCTAACTAATGTGGGAAGAAGGCTACTAGTCACTTCCAGTTTAGGACTTCTGTTCCCTTATTAAATCAGCTAAAAATTTTGTTAAAAAGATCATGCTGACTTATTAATACTGGCTTGCAGTAGTCTGAAAAGTAATGTGAAATAGCAGAAGACTAACACCAAGTTCTGAGACCTGTAAGGTCAGTCTCAAACTCATGAATTTCAAAGCAAATTCAAACTGTGGACTGACATCATGTTTCTCTTCCCTGCCAGTTCCAAGCAGACACATTACACATTTATATTATGCCTTTTCATACTTTTACAACAACTGCTCCTTACTACTTGACCGCAATTAAAAGGCATTTTGTAACCTGATGTCCTACTCCAACAGGAAACCATCCTGTGAAGTTTGTGCTCTATTACTACCTGATTTGTACCTATATACAACTTTGTTTAAATGAGTTCTCTCCAGTACTCTTAAGCTCATGCTACAAGAGGTTGAGTGTGCTGGTGCTGTCCAGAGATCCTACGTTCTTAGTTTGCTTGATAGTTATTCTCTGCTAGTTATCGAATTTACTAACAGAAAAATTATGGCCTTGTATAAGCAAGAGAGGCAGAGTTCTTTCAAAGCACTGAGGACCTGTGTGCTCTTCCCTACTCACCACCTCCAAAACTTCTGCATGGTAGCAGATGTCTTGAAGTGGAAGGAAATACCAGTAGATGTGACCTTTCATTTCTTGGCCCAAAATCTGCTGGTAAGAAGCTAGTATTGGTCTAATCAAAACCATATCTAACTAATATTTAAATAGAATCTCTTTGTCACCACCTTTTGAAAATGGAGTACAGCTGAGGTGAAAGTTTGGCACAGAACTGAAGCTTAAGAGGGTGCACAAAGAATAGCACTTTTGATTTTTTTTGTATAGCCTTTAAGTAGGTAGATAGGAAGTTTTCAGTAAATTCAGCAAGTTTTAAAAGGGACTGACTGTAACAGATCTGTGAACAAGACATCAGCAGATGTAGTAATTTGGGCATAAATACTGTAGAATATGCACCCTTCATTTTAAGGAATCAAACCCACTTTTCTCTAGAACTATAGTTGCTTTGCTGCTGAAAATGTCTTTGCRATACCAATTAAAAGAGACTTAACAAAATACTTAATAAGGTCTTGGTTTTAGGGCAAAGAAAGCATTTTAATGTCAGTGGTCACTGGAGATGCTGTGACAACCATTAAGAATTTAGATGATCAACAAGTACTGCAACAGTGTATGACTGTACTCCGAGAGCTGTTTAAGGAGCAGGTAAGAGAAACCTTTTTATTAAGAGATGAATRTAATTGACACCAGAATAAAGCTTTCAAATGTATACTTCATCATGTATAGGCATTGAAAACTATTTTTCTTTTCTTGTCAGTTTCAGGGAATAGGTTTTCTTTAAGACATACTAACATCACACCTTTTAGTCTCTTGTGTGAAAAATCCATATGATATATAGAAATATCTTAGATCTCTTTGAATGACAGTAGTAATTAACTGAAAAACAGAAATGAACTATCATCCTTTAAAGTGCTTTTAAAAAGCAAAATTAAAATCAGTACTTCAGGCAGGTAACAAAACATACTTATTACTTAGTTGTCACATTTTTTTCTGCTCATCACCAATTCTAATACATAATAAGATCCTTRATCTAGATGAATTTGATTGATTTCTGCCTCACTCCCTCCCAAGGCAACTGAAATTGCAATACATCCAATCCAATCCAATCCATTTCTCTTCTACAAACAACCCTTTCAGCTGTCTTGGTATGGAAGTACAGGCAAAATGATCTCGCAAGGGCCCTATATCCTGATTGTAAAAAAGGACACTAGATAAAAATTTCTACCTTTTTTTCTTTTCCCCAGATCATCATTGGGATAAAAACTAATACAAAAATCAGAGGAATCTGGGGCAAGTAGAACACTATCGCTTAGCAATGTTATTTACATTCTACCCCAGAGACACTAATGCCTCATTTAATTTACTTAGACCAGTTAGATCCCCAGGAATGATTGTGTTAATAATGTTCAGAGATGATCTCTTAAGTTTTACTGATGGTTCATGGGATTAATGATTTTGGAAGAACTTAAGTATCTGAAAACTCAATTATTCTTAGAAATATACTTTTGATAGTGGCTTTATTGTTACTAGGACCACATGCAGTGGAAGTTTACATACCTGTATTTTGATCTCATGAAAATGTAGCAGATGGGTCTTTGGTTTCAGTGCCACTCTGGTCCACAAGAGTGATTTTCATGGCTGTCTCCATGCTTTACAGCAGTTGTGAATTTCAGTCACCGGAGAACAATGCAGCGGGATTTTTTAAAAAAGATAGGTTCTGGGGTGTACCAGAGCTACTTCTGGGGCCTTCATGCCACTTTTGTCATACTTGGCTGGTCATGATCACTTGAGCTTTAGTCCCTCATGTACTGCCTGAATGGAAGCAGTCTATTTGTTGACACCAGACATTGTGTAAGAGCAACCACAGCTGCTTCTGTTTACTTGCCATGAGCTCCTCCAGAGTAAGACACAGCTGTAGTTGACTAAGCCTTCATACAAGTGTTACTGAGGCTCTTTTTGGTAGAATTCTCTGGAATTTGCACACTGCAATGTGACAAAGAATACAGAGTATTATTGTCATGGCTCAGCCAGACTTTGACTTCCTGGTTTTTGTTTTCTCCCTGAACCTAGTTTTCAAGATAGCTCATTTTCTGATCTTAGATAAGTAATCCTATTTTTCCTTTGGAATAAAATTATCTCCAAAATGAAAACTGAATTTTGAGATTTAGCAAGCATTATGCCTAACCAAGACAAAAATTGCTTACATTATACATACAAACATTTTGAACAATATCAGTACTTTATTTGTTTACAAGGGTAGGTATGTATGTGTTTTACGGGAAATTTTTCTTTCTCATGTGTTACTTCTAGGTGTATTACAATATGCATATTTGTTACATTCAGAATAGTGCAGCTGTGATGTTTCAGGCATCAGGCAAGTCTACCAAACAAAATTATCTTTGTGGTTATTACTATAATAAAAAAATAGGAATTTAATTYCAGAATGCAATCTAGTCTGTATTTTGATAATTCTATATACTCTTAAGGATTACAAGAACTGTTTGAGAAAATCTGTGCAATTCTGAACTTCTCTTTGCAGTGTTTAACTTCTATTTTGATTATGCAGGAGGTTCCTGACCCAGTGAAGTTTTTTGTTACTCGATGGAGCAATGACCCTTGGCTGCAGATGGCATATAGTTTTGTGAAAACAGGGGGTAGTGGTGAAGCTTACGATATTATAGCTGAAGACATACAAGGAAAAGTTTTTTTTGCTGGTGAGGTAAGTGTCTTTGTTGAATAAAGTAACTGGGAGCAGTTCCTTTGGAAGATTGTCTTCTGTTAACCAACACCATTAACCTAGAGGGAGTATATAAATATTCTGTTACATAAATATGCAAATGATTCTTGACACAGAACCCTCTCTCTTCATATTATTACTGGTCATGGGAAGTCTCCCAACCATTTCAGGTCAGGAGTAAAATGCATTTTTAGTCAAATTGTCTTTCTCTTACTCCACTTGTGGGTAACATAATGAACATAACTCCATGGTGGTGTTATATGCATTCTGTCCTGGAGCAGAACTTAACCTGCCCCACTAAAGTGCAGGTAGCAGAACACACTGCTACTTTTGTAGCTGACCTTGCTTGCAAATTTTTTGAAGTTGCTAAAAATCTTGGGTGTTTCCTTTGATGTCTAAGGAATTTTCAATGACTTTTAAAAATGTAGGTATATGCTTAAGGAAAACAAAACTGATTTTATAAACTATAACTCTGTAGTTTAAAATTTGTGTAGTTTAAAAGTAAAAATTAGTTACAGTTTTAGAAACAACTGACTTTTTTCCTTTTTTTTTTTAAATACAGGCCACAAATAGGCACTTTCCTCAGACGGTTACAGGAGCTTACTTGAGTGGGGTTCGAGAAGCAAGCAAAATAGCAGCATTTTAAGTACCGAAATTTTGTGTTTATAGATATATTTTTAATTGATTTCTGTGGGTAAAACTATCTTCAAGTTTCCTATTGCTGCCTTTTTCCTACATGGTACTTGAATAGTATATGGTACCTGAAGATAAAATCTTCATCTTCCTTTTCCTTTTTCTCTCCCACCCCATTTTTAAGCCCTGATGATCCATACTGTTGGGGGCTTTTTTCCAGCTATTACTAGCAGGAGTGACATTGGAACCACTGGCCACAGCTTAACTAAGAGAACTTTTGACAAAAGTCCTCTTCTGTATGGCTCGTCACGCTATTTTGAACCTTCATTTCAGAAGGTCAGATTAAAACAAAACTAAGTTAACATACAGCATTAAAAATGCTGGCAGTTAATAATGACATGGGAATCTTCCACTAATTGTGCTTCTCAGGTTGATTATGCTCATAGGAGTTCAAACTGACTTCCAAGAGCCCAAATAGCCTAGAAAAATTCTAGGATTAATATAGGAAGGAACTCAACTATCACTTTTCCCACTTGGAATCAATAACCTTTTCTATAATATTTTTTCATATTCTTAGCTTCCATTAAGTGAGCTTTGGGATATGAAGTTTGTTCCTTTAAATAWGAGAGCTGGAACAGTTTACAGTGCAATCATGGAAAGGTTATTGTAGCTAATCAAAACTTGAAAAATTAACTTTTACATTACTTTAAAAAACATTGAAATATTATGTCTCCTACTTACTCAGAGAAATTCTTGTTACAATATTAGGCTAAAAGTTTAGATTTGCTCATTGCTTCTGAGAAAGATCCTGTAGAAACAGGACATCTTGAAAATACTATATTGCTATGATTGTTCTGAAAACAAGATTCAGATTTATTTGGGTTGAGTAGAGGAAGTATCTACTGATATGATTGTACCATGGGAGTTGCAGGACTCTAAGTTCCTAATTGCTCATTCAACATTTATATTAAAAAACAAGTGAAGATGAATGAGGAAAAATATTAACACTCTTATGAAGGGCTGAAACAAGGTGGTTTGCACTTTGACTTGAAGGGTTTTTTTTCTTTTATTATAAAGTATTATTAAAATCAACTTGAGAGAGTAATTCAGTAAGGGCTAGACATCTATCTTATAGCTTTTCCATGGGACAGGGACAAAAGTATTTTTCAACAGAAATAAAAGAGAGATGCAACTGGGATATCTGCTGTAATACTGTTCAACTATATTGGTATTAATAAAAAAAAAAAAAAATAAAATCCACTTTTAGATATCTCCCCCACACCTTCTCTTTAACTTGGCTGTATAGATGTCATGAACGTAAGCACTTATTCTATCCTACTCCATTCTCAGGCTTTTCTCTTTTATKAATCCCTTTAAGAATGACACAAACAAATATTTTTGACTAACAGTGCTTATTTCCTCAAAGCTGCATCCTTAAGAAAAATCATAGAACGTTAAGGGGTTGAAATGGACCTTAACAATCACCTAGTCCCAATCCTCACTGTCATGGGCAGGGACACCACACACTAGACCAGGTTGCTCCAGGCCTTATCCAACCTGGCTTTGAACACTGCCAGGGTCCTACTGAATAAATGCAATTCTTCTTTTCAAATATGTAATATTTTGTTTTTAGAGTAGGTATGATATTGTTAAAAATCCCTTATTTAATCTCTAATTTACAAGGAGAAGATGCTTATATAACTACATGTTTTTCAGATAGATATACTGTTCTGCTTTTTAAAGCTGAACTATCTGGACTAATAGGACGAGTATAATTGTTCATAATTTTTTCCTCTACATAAATGCTGGTATATACAGTTTTAAAGTATTTCCAATTATTCAATTGCAATTTAAAGCTATAAGAAGCAAGGCAAAGCCTTTTGATGATAAAAGATAATCAGGACATCAAATTTTGGTTTTGGCAGTCATTTGCACTTTGACAGTTTCGTATATTACAGGCTAACTTACGGCATAACTAAGAGTGAGAGCTATGCATGTTTGACTTCCAAGTTTCTTTCCCACTTTACATACATGACAAATTATTAGGAGAGGAACTTCTGGGGTGGTGGGAAAAACACTTATTACTGCAAGCCCAAAATACTATGTTCAGTGGCTGCTTCAGCTGGCCTTGCTTTAAAACTTTAGTCAGCATAGTAACATATACAAACGTGTCACGTTTCAGGTAGGATTGGTCTGGAAAGTTTAATTCAGCATCCATTTCTCCAGTCCAAAGTTTGTATGAACATGCTGGATGTCATCCTATTAATTTGTACCTGGGGTTTTCAAGCTACCTACAACTTTGCAGGTAGATAAATACTGTATTCTGGATGGGAGAGATGGACATGAAGAAATACTATCACATTTGGCTTTAGATGATACACTTACAGCATTAGAAACCGGTAACAAATGATAAATTTACCAATGGCCCAGTCTTTTAATTATTTGTATATTGTTTTAGTGCCAGGGCACTTAAACTGTGTTGTGCTGCACTGAAGTTTGAGGAATAAATGAGATAACATTCATTTGAAATATATAAGAACATCAGGCTGGTTCTGAGACTTCATTCTTTAMTGTTGCTCAAATTTTTTAATATCTATGTTAAAATTTATTTCAAGCATGTATGTGTTTTTTTCTTTTGTGTTTAATTTATTCCCTCAAATAAAGAACTGGGGAATGTTTTCTTTGAGCAGGTTTGTTTAAATGTTATTAAAAAGATTTGAATGCAGAGCATGATCTGTTACACTTCAATTCTTCTCTGTGACTATGTTATGGCAGCAGAATAAAACTGGAAAGTATCCACGGGATGCTTTTTCTGGTTTTCTTTATATTTAAYTAGTGGCTAAGTCTACTTTTTTGTTACATTTTATATTAAGAATTCATTTTAGTCTATTCCTACAGCTAGTCAGTTCCTGAGAAATGCTGCTTCCCAGCCTTTTCTGAGCTCTGTGCTGTTCTTTGGACAGTATTGTAATCAGTGCCTTTTCCCTCCAAGTTTTACAAAGCAATTCATAAGTTTGTGTTTGTTAGATTATTTTCCTTAGGCAAAGGGAAATTTCAKCTAGTGATAACTGGTGAGAGGGCCCATAATTTTAAAATATCAACAATAACCATTTAACACTTTTCACGGAGTAAGCACTTTGTAGGATCATGGTCCTCAAAAGTTCCTACTAGCACAGATCACTATAAGCACATTCAAATCTGACTAAATACTCAAAACATTTAAAATACAAACAATGCCAAATTCTAGTACACTTGTCTACATTATTCTTTGTGAAAGGGAGGTCGRGTGTTCATTTAGTCTAAGTCTGCCAGCAGTTGCCTAAAGAGAAAAATACTCTTGCTGCTTTGAAAGTTTATTTTACCTGCATGTAAGTCTGAACCAGTGAAAGCATTACTGTGGGCACAATTCACTACTTTCCCCYAAACCTGTGATACTTGGTGAGCAAACCTGGTGATACAAAGTAYGTATCCTGAAGATGTGCTTTGGTCTTCAAATTCAAACTCATTACACCTGATACTGGTTTTGAAAAATGCTAGCTTCATTCTAAGGAAAACAAACTTAAAAACAGATATGAAATACTGATGATACTTTGAAACAAAATGGACAAATGAGCAGATTTCATAGCTCCCCATAAAAATTACAATCCCTTAAGAAWTTTTTTTTTAATTTTAGCCCATATCTAATACTTAGATCAGAARTAAGTGAAATAGTACAGTGCAGTGAACAAGACAGGTGAAAAGGCAAGGCAAGTTATGTCATACTGCCATCCTCATGCCCAGAAACTCTGGAGATCATCTGGTACAAAAGTTGCTGCTTGGAACAGGGCCAACACAGAGCTGGTTGCTCAGC